TTCTGGGAGTTGCTGAGTTATATTTCAGAGATATGGGATAATGATGCCATTTAATCATTTTTACAAGATATAAAATTACTGGCTGCTCTAGGAAGATCATTAAGGAAAACAATTGTTCACAGAAATTGAAAATAGGGTTTTAATTATTTAATATAGAAATTAAACTATTACAGACCAATGCTGGACAAGGCAACTTAATAGAAATTTATATACAAGTGTCTGTGAACATTTTAGTTTTATTAACCTGCCTAATTCCTTAATCCAGACCAGCCAGAGGTACCTTAGCTGTGGCTGTAACTTCACTGCTTGGATTGACTGGAGAGGAGGAATCTGGACAGGGCAGGAGCAGGCTGGCTTCTGGGAAGTAGTTAGCTGGTGGATGGGCAATCTGGCCAGTAGGGAAGTAGGGGACTCTCACCTTGGAATTCCAGGGGCAATTCAGGTGCCCCCAAAAGTTCCAGCAGTCGCTCTGTATGTTATATGCAATGGCCCTGGGGGAACCAGACCTGGAGAGAAGAGGTTGTTTTCCTGTGCAGCAAATGGTATCCTAAGGCTGGGCAGGCAGCAGAAGAGGTGGCTGGGATCACCATCTGAGTGCTACCCTAAGCAGGGTGCCCCCAAGAATGATGTTCTGGAGAGCTTCATGAGAAATGGATGGGAAGTGTTGGTGCAGTATGTGGCCCTCAGCTTTGGTGATTCCCCTCCAGAAACCAGGGGTGGCTCCTGAGTGGATAGGAACAGAGTGGGGGTCTGATCTTCAAAGGCCTGACTCTCATGCCGGGTTAAAACTTCCCAGAGGCAAGTTCCTTGGGTGGAGGAGGCAATAGACAGGGAATGTAAGCAAGGGACACCAGGCCCACGGGAGATGACTGCTGGGTCAGACACGTCAAGGACACAGGTTGTGCATATCTGTGTTTCTGCCCCGGGCTGCAGCACACTTGACTGTTGTCTCCACTGCCCCCCACCCCAGCCACATTCCCTGTCCCTGTCTTATGGCTGTGCCTAGAGAATCCTAGGTACTGAGATCTAGTCTCTAGGAGATAAGGGCTACAGGATCAGCCTCGGGGCTTTGTCAGGGACTCTGGCCTATTCCCAGCTTTGGTTGCCACCAACTGGAGGAAAGGAGTTTTTAAGATGGGACTCTGGTTACAAACTGTGGGATGCAATATGCTCCATCTCCAAGTGAAGACTGGGGGAAGTGAGACAATGCCAGGGAGAGACACTTGCCCAGCCTTCATGCAGCTTTGATATGGACTACAGGAAGGTTTTCTCCCCACACATGCTCTTCTCATTTTCCAAAATTTAAGTCTTTATTTTAAAAATTGGACACTTTCACCACATAAAGAGAATAGAGGGACATTTAAGAGGCTAATTGACCAGCTATAGTGGAGATGGTTGGCCTGACGTAGACACTTACACAGCAACCAGAGTAGGTTCATAGGCTATGTAGACAACACCCTTTAGTATTGTCAAGGGGCTGGATGGGGCCAGACCTTTGATCCCCTACTCCTCCTAGCCCTACACAGATAACTCCTGGTTCCTGCTTCCCCTGGGGATTTCCCAGAGGGGAAGGTGGGGCTATCGAGTGACCTGCTTAAGGTTGAGATGAAGACTAGCCAGCATGGCCCCTTTTTGACAGCAACCTGCAGACGGCCCCACCCCCACCTTACCACCTGTGCCGGGTCACCTGACATCAGGAAGTCCAGGCTGGATGTGGACAGCAGTCATCACCCTTGTGTCCGATGCCCCTGCCTATCCTCCTGTCTATTGCCTCCAGGAGAGGCATCTTAAGAGGCAGGGCTGGGTGCCTTACTCGGAGGCCATCCACTGCTGGAATTACATCCTGTCTCCCATTATGACCAATAAATCCCAAGCAATCTTTTTTCTCCTCATAGTTTTTAGGGTTACATAAATTTCACCTATGCAATTTTTTCATGCTTGAATATATTACAGAATGCCACTTCTGCCGCAGGAGCTAATTGATAATGTGATTTGTTATGTTGCCGGGGCATAATTCAGAAAGTTATTTTAACGTCTTTGATACATGGAATAGCACTCACTGTTTAATATTTCTCACATGAGCAGACACGCTGTGAGGTGAGGAATGTGATACCGCAGATGAAATATTTCCAGAAGCTTTTATTCTTGTTGTTTGGGTGAGTGCCAACGTCTTTGTAGAAGAAAGCTCATATTTCCAGTACTGCTCAGATTTCAATTTATCCCCTGGTCGTTAGTAAGCTTTGTGTGTGGGTTTTTCTTTAATTCTGGAACAAGTATGCATATATGTTTTTAAGGAAAAAAAATCAAACAAAAGAGAGGAGAATCACACATAACTCTTCCAACATCATCCAAGACGTTTGCATTACATATTTGTGCGTCAGGTGAAGCATAGATTCTCTGAAGTCAGAGAAACTGTGCAGCCCCCTTACCCATGCCTGCACTGTTGGTGGTTTCAGACACCTGACTTCAAGTGAGGTTAGAAAAAAAGGAAAAACTCCACAATTCAACAGCTTGTAACAAGCTATACACCATTCTGTGTAGCTTGTGAATGTGCTAACATCGTCCCAACAAGGTGGATCATGCTACATGCTACCTGACCGCTAGGCTTGGGCCACCATCTCAGGTATCATAGTTCCTGTCCTGTCATCTCAGGACTGTGTTCACATGACCCTTGTTCTACCAGCTAGTGGAACAAAGCCCAGGAAAGGGGCATAGAGGAGGGGGCAGGGCAGACTATAGGCTCCATCTCCAGCAGAGACTGATTTTGGTATCTCTGGCAGCACCTCTCGTGTTCTCTCACATTCCCCTCTGGGGTTGGGTGCCATCTGTGGTTTTCTTTGAATCCTAACCTTCAGGATAAAGGTCTTTCAGTCCCTCCCCCTCCTTCCCCAGTGGTGACATTTTGCATAACTGTCATGAATGGCAGAACAGAGACAGTGATATTGGTCCCAGGTGTTGCTGAGGTCAACAAGTTTCTGCCTATGTGTAGTAGCTCTGCAATACTATCTCTTGTGCAGGCAGGTATCACTGCCACAGTCAAAATGCAAATGAGGCTGCCACCAGGCTTCCTGCTGCTGTTCCTTGACCTGTCCCTATGCTCTGAAGTACTGATTTACTTGTCTCTATACTTTGCTATTTGATAATGTTATATAATGAAACCTTATAACTTCTGTATCTCAGAAGGGACTCTCCAGGTCCATCTAGGTCACCCTATCGATGGCGTAATTTTTTGTTTTTAATACAAGAATGAGTGCTATGGTTCACTCTGGATGGAGTATTCGCCAAGGCCTGTATATCAAAAACTTGGTTCCCAGGTTGGTGCTGTGGGAAACTGGGCCCAGTTAAGGAGGGGTTCTTTAGGTCTTTGGGTGTGGGGCCTTGAAAAGGTTTGTGGGACTTCAGCCTCATCCCTGTTTTGCCTTCTGGCTATAAAGTGGTCAGCTCTGTTTACCACAGTCTCCACCATGTTGTATTGCCTCTTCATAGGCTCAGAGCAAGACCGTGGGCCAGAATAGTCCTACACTCTTTATCACGGTGAAGGGACACTGGTCCACACTGGGATGCAACATGGATGTTGTCTTCTGTTCACTGAAGGACACTTGTGCTGTTTCTGGTGTTTGGTCATCAGGAGCAAGGCTGATCTAAACACTCAGGTATATGTATGGGGGGGTGGGAGATGAAACTCCACTTCTCTGGGATAAAGAAGTATCCAAGACTGCACTGGGGGTGGGGGTGGGGGTGGGGACGTGCATTGCAGGTTTTGTTTTGCATAGACCTCTTCTGGCATGGCAGCAGTGTTGTGTGACATTGACTTCATCATCTTCAGTTGTTTTAGTAGAGATTCATTTCTGCTTTATAGAAAACAATCTTTGACCACATGTGTCCTGATCCAGGAAACCTTGGCATCGGTCCCTGTGGCTACAGCCAGAGGCAGGGAAAGATGAGTACACAGAAGCAAGGCTCAGGGGACACTGAGCAGGTTTGGCACTCTGGAGATGTACTCGGCTGTCAAGAATGCCTCCTTCAGACCCTGCCCTTCCCTTAGGTGGCATTTCCCCCGGGGCTACCCATCTGTCACCAGTTCTGTGGAGACAGCTCTGGGCCCCACAAGGCTTAGGACAAGGAACAGCAGTCAGTGTTTCTGTGTCCCTTGCTTTCACGGTTCTAGTTCAGAACAGAGGAAAAAAAACCCCACTTATAAGATAGTTTGAGTGCCCCCACCCCAAGAGCTGGTATCCACAAGTCAGCGCCTGTTGTGAGGTATGAAACAGTGGGTGCTTGGGCCCAGCTTAGGAAGTGACTAAGATTTATCAAGGTCATGGTGTATGTAGACCGTATGAATGGATCCTAGAGGCTTTATAAGAGGAAAGGCAGACCAGGGAAGGTATACTCCCTGCCTCTCACTGTCAAATATGTATAGCACCTGGGGACACAGAACTCTTATCAGCAAGAAGGTGACTGCTGGATACAATCCCCTGGGGTTCCAGAACCATGAGGCGAAATGACCCTCTGCTCTTTCTGTAGCGTTGTGTCATTAGCAGAGAAAATGGGAAGTAGCTCCACCCTGACCCTTTAGCAGAGGCAGCAGGGAAGCTAATGGAACGCACTGGGTCTTCAAACTCCTGCCCTGAGGACAGCTCTTTGCTCTCCTCCTTTCCTGGACAGAGTCAGGATGGGCAAAGAAGAGCCACAGCTGTACTTTGTAGTCCTCCAGGACCTCATAGACCACTCTCGACTGTCATACCAGGAAAAGCCTGCTTGGAACTGCAGGATCGTGCCTAAGATGGGCATTTTCCGGAGAGCCCTGACACAGCAGCCAGGAGAGCAGGGGGCAGGAGGACTGCACACATCTCCAGAGCTGTGGGGGAGAGTGTGGTGAATCTCAGTTCACACGAGGAGAGCATCTTCCTGTCAGCTTTGATGGTGCCCGAATGTGCTGGTGTTCGTAGCCAGATGCTCCAACTCCTGCCTGAACCTCCAGAAACACACCACAAACTTAGTTGTGTGTAAACTTTAGTTGTTTACTAAAGCACTGAAACCAAAAACAAGCTTGCAGGCTAACAAGAACGAGCAAGAGCTTAGGTGCTATACCCAGCAACAGCTGTCTTCTCAGGACTAGGTATCGTGGACAGAAGGACAGACATCAGCCCGTGTGTGTCAAGGCTAGGATGAGCCCCAGAAGGTGGGAAAAGGGCCCCGAATGGGGAGGAGCCTCAGAGGGGTAGAGCTAGGGGTAGCGGCCCCAGACTCCAGGGTTTAGTTCACACGATGGCTTGGTGAGGCAGTCCGTACAGAACCAAGCCGAGGGCGGTAGGATGTGACTCAACCTGCTGAGGCTGCAACTCAGAGAATATCTCTTCCTTGGAGGTCTGGGGAACGTCATCTGTGGAGCAGGAGACACAAGTCGTGAAGCCCAGAACCTTCTCTGACAGCAGCTCGGGTCCTACCAGGATGTCCATCCTCACCAAGGTCGTGGCACGAGGGAGAGGGGAGCATCAGAGGGCAGGTTGGTGCTTCTGGCTGCAGGGGCCATGAGTTCTCCCTGCAGCTTGACCACAGCAGCCCTGCCACCCCCCCACCCCCGTTGTTCCTCAGTGCTGTCCAGTGTAGAAGCTATGGAAGTCTGGCTATGTGATTGTCAATGACAGCACCAGAATGTGATCAGGACTGACCCCATGCCCTGTCTACCTCCCCCGAAATCCCTGGGTCATCTTAAACCTGGAGACTGGCCTCATAGCTTCCTCTGTGATGCCTAGGGGCACTCCTACCCTGGACAGGACAACTCACGGGTATAAGCATCATTTGGTCCCTTCCTTCCAAACACAGCTTGGGCCCCTCTGTGATGACAGGAACTAGAGGACCAACCCTGACAGCAGTGGCCATGAGGCCTGCACAGTTTGTCCTTCCTGAATTTAAGGCAAAGCAACATGCTGGCCACTCAGTAGAGCAGGAGGAGTGGGCGGAGTCATGTCCGGTCCTGTTTCTGGTTTGTTAGGAAGGAGTGCCAGACTTTGCCACCTTTGTCCTCCTCTCTGGCCCCTCTTCCTTTCTTTGACTGCTCAGTCACTCGCTCTTACTTATTCTCACAAATCTATTCATTCAGTCACTAACTCACAACTTCATTCATTCATTCCTCACTCATTTACTCATCCATTCACCCACTTAATTCACTCCTCAACTTACTAGGTTACTCACTAATACACTCACCCAGGCGCTCATTCACTCCTCCCTCATTTGTTCATTTGCTCACTCACTCATTCACTCTTCATTCATTCACGCACTCAAACTCATTCACACATTCAACTCCCCTCTTTTCCCTGGCAGCTACGTCCCAGGCACTGGAGAGCACAAGGGTTTTCAAAAGTTAATCTCCTACTGAGTTGTATTGAATGCATTTCAGATTTCTCAATTTTAAACCCTCCCAGGATAAATCTTCGTGAGTTATGGTACATTTTCACTTTAGTGTATTGCTAAATGCAATTAGCTAGAGTTTTATCTGATTTTTTTTAACACTACTATCCACATGTGAAATTTATCGGCAAATTCTTTCACTGCAGCTGGCACATCTTGGCACAAGGTTTGTGTGAAGGATGGGTAGGTGGAGTTTGTCTCATCTAGAACAGGAAGCATCCTGCAACCCTGCCTGAAGCTTTACCCCAAGGCTAGAGGATGTCAGAAAGTTTACAGGGACAGAAGATGCAAGTAGGCTGACCCTCCTGACTCTATCAGGACACACCCTCTGGGAGTTCCTCTTCCCAGATGTTTCCTTGTCCTGGCTTAGGAAGATCAGGCGGCCTCATAGGGCCCATGGACTGGGTAGCCCAGGTGTTCACCCCCCAAAGTCCTCTCTTTGGGCAGAGGGAACGTGCAGGGACCACCCAGACCTCCCCATCTCTTCACAGAAAGTACATCTGAGACCTTTTGCTTACTCTTCCGTCCCTCCCTCTCTCCCTTCTTCTTCCCCCCTCTCTTGTGGGCTACAGGCTGGGCTCCTCTGTGCTCTTGTTCAGCACCGGCTCTACCAGATCTGAGAAGACTACATTGGCTTATTGACTCGTACATTCTTCCCCCCTCCCTTTCTTCCTTCCTTATTCCCTCCTTCCCTCCTTCTCCCTCTCCTTTTCTCTCTTGAAGTGGGGAACACCCTGTCCCTGAGGGTGGTGGGGTGCAATGTAACCACTGGTGACTTTCACAGACAAGCAGATGGGTGGGCAGTCTCTGCCTTACCTTGGTTAAGACTTGTTTCATTGCCTATCTTCTGAATGAGACGAACTGTTTTCCCAAGTGGCTTGCCAATTGCTAACAGGTCTAGAGGGCGGGGGAAAAGTCCCTTCAGGTGGGCTATGGACACCCTTGGCAGACTTCTAGCAAAAGCCCACGAAGACTTTGGCATAGCCAGGGTGTCCACTCACTATCCCACAGAATGGTGGCCCTCAGTGCATTGTCCTGTAGAAGCGTGGGCCACTGGTTAGCCACGATGCTCTCAACTCCCACCAGGCTCAGAAGGATGGCAGTCTCGATAGGCTTCTCCAAGGACTGCTGTGATTCACTGTGGGGATACATAGACTGACACCAAGGGGCTGATGGCCTTCCCTCCGTCCTTCCCTGCATCGCGGCTAGAATGCATGTGTGCACCAAGGCTTTTACAGGTATGAATCTCAGCCACAAAAGTTAAATGTCATTTAACAAGAAATGGCATTTTTGAGTATTGTCAAATCCATCTGGTGGCAGCTCCCAGCCCTAGCATGGAGCCTGGCAGCAGTGAGAGTTGTTACCATGAGGAGGAAGGTGCCGTCCAGCAAGCTCTGGTAGTCCACCTATCCCTGGGGTGAGCTGTACCACCCCCCCATACACAGGTTCTTAACGACACAAGGACACTAGGTACCTCTTGTTCTCTGACGACTCTACCTTCCGCTTCCGGCTCTCGGAGGACCTTGTCAAGTCCAGCAGGACCATCATCTGGCATTCTGCAGGACACAGTGAGGCTCCTCAGTGGTCACCCACACAATTACCAGATCCCCATGGGAGCTGCACTCTAAGCAGCCTGAGGCTTGGGCTTTCACAGGTTCTTTACAGGTGCCCAGGGAGCACACAGGGGAGACAGAGAGCAAGCCTACTCAGGGCCACTTCTAATTCTTAGCATAGTTGACTCTGTTCCCCCACCACTTACTAGTGCAGAGAGAGAGAGAGAGAGAGAGAGAGAGAGAGAGAGAGAGAGAGAGAGAGAGAGAGAGAGAGAGAGAGAGAGGGAACCTCAGTTCTTACCTAGGGTGTGATGTGTTATGCGAGTGGGCCACCTTAGACAGGCATGCTCACTGAAACAAGTGGCAGAGTATGGTCCTGGTGTGACTATAGGACCAACATGGATACAGGGAAAGCAGACATCTGTGAAGGGATATGGCCTCCTAGGGACAGTGGACACCAGGAAGGACTGCCACTTTTGTGCATGCCTCATGTGTCTCCTACTTTATGTGACATATCACCCAGAAGTAGTCCTTCTAAGAGGGGTTTCTCCATCACTGGGACAAAAAGTGTTTTCGGGGTGTTTCTGATGATGAGGGTTCCGCTCACTCCACTGGTGCATGCCCAAGGCTACCCAGGGTTGGAAGTAGACCTGGTCAGCATGTGGTCCAGCCATGGTGGACCCAGGTGCCTTGGTGTGGAAAGAGCATCCAGGCAGTTGCTGAATAGCTCTACAAGGGGCCATATGCCTCACGAGGGAGGAAGGGACATCTCCGAGGGCCTGAAAAGGCTTGCCCATTGGCTGTGCATGGTGGCTGGCCCTGAACAGCCTAACAGAAGCAGCCTCCTACTAGTGGGAAAAAGATCTAGGAGCATCTGGCAGGAATATGGTTCTGTTGCTGAGATGGCTGTGGACCACAAAGACCAGCACACGGCAGCACATTCTCTATATGTCTGAACACCGAGCCTGCTGTCCTGTAGAGCTGGTGATGTCAGTGCCATGTTAGCATGGCCCTCCTGGCAAGGTGCCTACAAGCACACCGTACTCAGCCTGCCACCTGGTACTTCATCCTTCACCTGGACTCTGAGCCCTTCATTCCCTGGGATGTCTGGGTACAGCACTTCCGGGGCTCACTGACCTCCTGGGTCTGTTGTTAGTAGACACACAGAGAGAACAAGGCTCCCAAATTACCATGTTCTGACTGGATGGGTTCTGCAGGGAGCTATCAGCCCAGCCATACAAGGTGAAACTCCACAACTGACTCTCATCTGTGAGGGTCTGGAGTTCTGAACAGGGGTCCTCTGTATGTAAGAAGGGCTGAGGGCAACCGGGAGAGCTAGTGGCCCTGTGGCTGCCATACCATTGATAGGAGGAGGACAGAGACAGTTTTCCAATAGGTGGAGGACAGGTTAGGGCGGAATGTTATGCCTTCCTGAAGAATCGCAAGTCTTGGACTCCGGATCAAGAATTTCTCCCAGTGATTTCACTTGTGCCTGAGGCTCTGGCTGTTAGGCTGTCGAAGGGGGAGGGGCCTCACCTTGTAGATCCATGGCTACCAGTCTTTCCACTATCAGGTGGGACAGGAAGCCCTCCATTCCGTAAAAGAAAAAGCCTCTGCAGCTGTCCAGTACCTGCTCCCAGTCAGTCTGGCTACATGGGGAAAACAGCGGTGGGTGTGACCACACATCTGGGCTGGGTGCATGCATCTGCAACCCCCTCCTCCAGATCTGTTTGCCAAGCAGGGAATGTCCCTGTCACTCGCACAAAATCTTTTATGCTTCTGTGGAACCCAAATGATTTTTGTTTTCCCAATGTATAGCTGGCCTCAGATGGGTTTTCCCTACTGAGAATGGCAGTCTAGGTACAAACGTGCATCTCAAGTCAGTGGGGCTGGTCTGGGAAATACTGTAGTACCTCTAATATAGGAAAGAGGATCTAGGCAGGGTATGTGTCACCCTCCATGTCCTACCTCCACCAGCTCTGCTTTCTATGCTCCACCTGAGCCCTGCATAGGCTTACTCCTGTACCCCTGTTCCAACAGCCCTGGCTCCCCCATGCCCTAGTCCCATATACATTAAGGGACAGGGATGACAGAATGCATGCCACAGGGGCCAGTGACATGTAGCTACTTGACCCTATGCTAGTAGCATACCTTCTTTGGGTGGTTTGGCCTGAAGGGGACCTGAGATCATCTAGGACAGATTCTGTGTGGATGAGTGACCTTGGGATTATAACAGATTCCCTTGCCTAGTGCTGTGCCTGGGGCTCTACAGGACATATCCATCCAGTGTGGAAGGTGTTGCATGAGGGCACCAGCCTCTCTAGCCAACTTTTGGAGACCCAGGTCCCAACCTTAGAATGTGGTAGCTTCCCAGATGCCCCGTCCAACGTGCAGTGTACGTGTCTCGGAACTTCTCCAAGATTTCCTGGGTTATGGAGACGGGACTCAGTACCTCTGCAGAAAGAATTGACTTGGATAGGCTGTGGCTTCCTCATCAGAGCATGGGGGGCGTGGGCCCTGTGCCACTGGGATGGGACAGGGGCTGGGAAGGAGTGAGCGTTAAGCACAGGCGGGAGTGCTAGTGCTTCTCCTTTCCCTTGTAGAGGGAGGAATTGGTAGAGGAGGCTAATCAGTGGGAAGAGGAGGAAGAGGGGGAGGAAGAAGAGGAGGAAGGAGGGGGCCCCAAGGGTTAAGAATGGCAAGGTGGTCAGCTTGTGTTCAGACCCAAGACTCCTAGGCCACTTGAGGGGATGAGAGCAAGTGGCACAAAGCCTAGGTGGCCTTGGCCTATATGCCAAGGGCCCGTGTGATGTGCTCACCTTTGACCTCGGCCTCCTCATAAGGGTCCACAACAACTGGTCTGAGTCAAGGACAAACAAGAACAAAAGCAGAGTCCTGGGGACCGTGAGCACCCATCAAAGGATACACTTGATAGTGTCGGAGTCGATTAGGATGCATTCGGGTGGGGTGACCCGGATCATGGCGCTCTGCAACACAGAGAGAGGTGTCAACACCTGGGGCCACCAACTGGGCCTCGGTGGACAAAGTGGGCCTCACTAAACTCAAGCTGAGAGGAGCAAGGGGCCCCTGGCTTCCCACCAACCTACCTTCCAACCTTTCTTTCCTGGACTTTTCTTCTTGAATTCCTTGCCTTTGATCTCTTTCTTCATACTACCTTCTGCAAAGGACAATGACAAGTGTGATGTGTCAGCAGGTGCTGCTCAGCTCAATTTTGGGTGAGAACAATTGGCTTTCATTTTCGTCATGTCAAAACACAAAGCTTCTTCTCTGTATGTGTGTGTCTGTATGTATATGTGTGTGTAGCACACATACAGAGCCCCCTATGGAAAGAAGACTTTATTAAATTAATGCTAGATAATTCTGTGAGACACATAGCACATAAATGAAACATAAAGCTTCATAGGGCCAAGAAAAGCTCTTGAGGAATGACCAGACCCCAAGGCGTCGAGGCACCCATTTCTGACCTTCACACAAGGTCACTGTGTGGTCACTGACCTTTCACACAAGGAACTCGCCAGAATGCCTGTAGTATTTGGATCCCTGATGGCTCCATAGTCTCTGTACAGAGACTTTTAGCCTGTGTCTTTTCTGTGCTGACTTGTCCCCGTGAGCAGGTCTTCATGTGGATAGCTCCGCACCCCACTGTGACCATCTCCCTTCTCCACCCTGTGTCTTCTACTCCATTTTCTGCCTTTCAGAGTCGGATTTCCACATGGATAGGCATGGCTCTCAGCCATCCTCATTCTGCCAAGGACACTTATCAGAGACACACTAAGAGGCTACTTGGTTCTGATGGATCTTCTGTCAGAGCCAGACCTGGCCTTCACACAGGCCCTTAGATACATCTCAGTCTTGCATTTCTAAGTGGAAACCAATTTACCCTTTGCAGAACTTTTCAGAAATGAAGGCATCTGCTGTGTGTTCTCTTTTGAGTCTTTCCCTGATCACAATCTCCTCATTGATGATATGTTCCCATACGCCCTCAAGTGACTGCTCAGTTGTGGGGAGCAGAGGAAGACCTTGATGAATGTGTGCTTTTGACAAGGACATGGCCATGGGAAAATGGCAAAGATCACTCCATGTCCCAAGGTAAGGCTCAGAAGAGAATGGCAAAGTCTTCCTCTGGTCCATATGTGGATGTTGGTAGTGTGTTAAGAAAATGTCCACCATGGCTTTCTCCCTCCAGCAATTTACAATCTGAGGACTGCTCCGCTACTCCTCCTCCTCCCGACATTAACTAACTTGTTTAGTTCTACAAAATAATTTTGCCTCCTTGTTTATCTATCTGTAATAACCCACCTCCATGTCCAGCCGTGTGCGATAACCCTACCTCTCTGTTCAACTCTATATAATAGACATGCTGAGCTTCCAGTATGGTCCTGTGACTTCTCCATCAGGGAACCCAGTCTTCTCTCTCTCTTTCCCCTTTCTCTCTCTCCTCTCCTCTCTCCCTCTCCCTCCTCCCCCACCCTCTCTTTCTCTCTCTCTTCCTCTCTCTCTTTCTCTCTCTCTCTCTCTCTCTCTCTCTCTCTCTCTCTCTCGTGTGTGTGTGTGTGTGTGTGTGTGTGTGTGTGTGTGTGTGTGTGTGTGTGTGTGTGAAGTCATATCTTCATTCCTTCAGTCCCCCAAACTGCATCAGGACATGAAATTGAGTGTTTCAGTTCAGTGACTTCCAGGTTTGAACTGTCATAGGGAGTTGTAAATCTAAGATTTTTTTTATGTCTACACATGCCTTCTTGTCTCTTGTATAAAGTCCTAGGAGAGGGTGCATGGGTCACCCTTGGCCTAATGTGTTATGACCTCTTTGAGCATTTCCCAGGGTGGGTCTCATTCATGCCACCAACCCCATCAACAGTGCACAAGCATGTGCCTCTGCATCTTCCCCATTACTTGGAATGGTGGACCTTTACATTTAGTTATTTATTTAAAATTCTAATCATTAATCTTACACTTGAATTAGCAAGCACAATTGGCGCATGGCAGGCTACTCTGAAGCATGCATGCACTGCAGACTAGTGGAGCTGAGCCTGCCAGTCACGCCACTCAATCCCGTTGCTGCTGCTTGGCAAAAATCACCTAACCCTACTCTTAGCCACTTCCAAACAACAATAACAAACAAACAAACAAACAAACAAACAAAAAACCATGGCATTGCATTGCTACCATCACCATGTCACTCAATCAAGCTCACAAACTTTTTTCTCCAACTAGGATTTTGTGCCCTGAGCCAGCAGCTCCCTGCTGCCAGCCCCTGCCTACCCCTTTCTCTCTGCTGTGGAGTTGAACCTTCTAAGACTCCCAGTGTGAGTGACATCGTGTATTCTTGTTGTCTGTGCCTGGCACAGTGCCCTCCATGCTCATCCATGTCGTCTTAAAGTAAGACGTCCTTCTCTTCTAGGACTGAATAGTGCTCTATTGTGTAGATACGATCTACCTACTGTAACCATTCGCCCAGTGATGGACACTTAGGCTGCTGTGAATGGGAATGCCACAGACAGGAGAGAACAGGTGTTTCCTCACCCGGCTGATTCTATTTCCTCGGATGGGACACCCACGGTGGGATCCCAAAATCGTTCATCCATCGGTCATCCTTGGACATGGAGGCCTCCAGTCCTCACCTTCCACAACTAGTCACCTGCAGCCGGTCTAGAGTAAACTCTGGGGCTTGGGCTGTTCTTAGCGAATTGCTTGAGGGTTTAGTTTACATTTTATCACAATATCTCTTTAAGTAGCACTGCCCTGGATCAGTTACAGCATAGGGCCCTTACATAGTTTGCATCATCCCCCTGCCTCAGCTCTTGCCCTGGTCTTGTCACACATGTTGTTATTATTTTCTTTCACTCAAGGGTTTGCTCAAAATATTCTAAACAGATTTTTGAAATGAAAAAAAAAAGTTATCACCCCCTTGCTCTATGGCTGCTAGTTTCTTTCCCTGACTTTTGGGTGCACCATTGCTGGCCTCACTTCTGCTGGCCTCCATAGGATCCTCTGTAGGCTTTTTTAGACAGTTGTCACTTCTCGATAGGTTGTCCCCAAGTTTCTCAGCTTTCCCTCCATGCTCAGCCCAGGAGCCCCCTGGGATATTCCTGCTGTTCCTGCCCATGTTTGAACTACAAGACTCTAAGAAGCACATGGGTCATGCGTGGTGGTTTGAAAGAAAATGGCTCCCAAAGGAGGTGTGGCCTTGTGGAGTAGGTGCGGTCATGATGAGGGAAGTGTATCACTGTGGAGTCAGGCTTTGAGGTCTTATATATGCTTAAGATACCACTCAGTGTCTCAGACTACTTCCTGTTGTCTATTAGTTAAGATGTAGGAATTAGCTTCTTCTCCAGCACCATGTCTGCCTGCACGCTACTATGCTGTACCATAATGATAATGGACTAAAACTCCAAAAATGTAAGGCACTCCCATTAAATGTTTTTCCCTTACAAGAGTTGCCTTGGTCAGGGTGTCTCTTCAGTGATAGAAACCCTGATGTGATATTTTGTTTATGATCTAACAAATAAAGCTTGCTTGAAGATCAGAGGGCAAAACTAGCCACACTAGTCAGCCATAGAGGCCAGGCAGTCTGAGGAGACAGTCTGAAGAGCAGTGCAGTCTGAATTAGTGTGAGAAACCAGTCAGTCTGAGGAGGCAGTCTGAGGACAGAATCGCCCTTTGGTCTGAGCATTGGTAGAGATAAGAACTCTCTAGTGACTGGCTGCTTTGTTTCTCTGATCTTTTAGCTTTCACCCCCTGATAACTGACTCTGAGTTTTTATTATTAATACCAATTAGAATTCATGCTATAAAACCGTAAGACACCAAGTATCTCCCCTTTCTTGGGGGTGAGCGTGTAGCCATCTTGGGTTGACTAGTACCTTGCTTCCTCTTTCCTGGTTTCTTGTCATCCTGGTTGGAAGAATGTGGCTGGCATTATTTTATCCAGACAACAGACATCTAATTGATTTTTAACTTAATTTGGTATTTATTGATCACTGTATGCTTTTCTCTTTTTGCCGTCCTGGGTTTATAACCAAGGACCCTGTTCACCCTGGGTGAATGCTCCATCATTGAGCTATATTTTCAGCTCCAATTTAGTATTTATTGATGTACAACACGTATTTCAAAGTGGCAGTATGCCCCAGGAACAGTTTAGAGACTTTCACAGACCGGAGTATCATGCAGTCTCACAGATGATGGTCTCCAAATCCTTTTTTTCTACCCTGCCCAGGCCTGACTCAGGGCCTGCCTTCCCTCACTGCCCCTCAACATCTAGGCAAATGATTCTGGGTATCATAGTTTTCGACCAGCAGGATTCTTCATGAAACATGGACTCAAGTGGGCTTCCATTCACAGTACCGAGTGTCTATTCTGGAAATGATTTTGCATGACTACGGGCCAAGGAAAATGTTAAAACACTTGACCCTGTACATGCTAGTCAAGCACTCCACACTGGGCTGCACCCCGGTGCCTTGCTCCATACCTTTTGACAGGAGTCAACAACGATTTATCTGAAACGTAAATTTTAAAATTTCCATCTTAAAACTAAGCATTACTGTGGCTAAGGCACTGCTCACCTAGCTCCTCCTTATGGAGACGATTCCACAGCATCTGGAGAGAAAATTCTCTTGACAGGGAGGTGACCTCATTGAGCCTAGAGAGTCCCTCAAGGGGCAACTCTAGTAGGAGCTTGTCTACGATCAGGATCATGTACTCGGGGTCAGGCTGCCCTGTGGAATGGAAAGGACAGCAGCTCAAAGCGGGGAGAGACCAGCTCTGGAGACAGGGCAGAGCCTGGAGCCTGGGCTTCGTCTCTCCAAGCTCTGACTCTGTGGCTAGGTGACTAGCCTGGTGGCGGCTGACCCTGTCATGGAGATATGAGTGAAAAGTGTGACCCCGCCCAGCTTGCAGAGGTACAGCTACACTGGTGACGTGATAGGAGAGATGACATGCCAGGGTCCCTGAGCAGCCATTGGTTTTAATGGTGAGAACAAGCTGACAATGTGATCCTGGACAGAGCCCATACTTAGTGGCACACCTTACAGTCTCAGAGGACTTTCCAAACAGTGAGTCCTTCAGAGGGCTTGGAAGGAAGGCTCGCTCTCATGACCAGCCTCTCTCTGCCCATACATGTGGGCTGCCAACTGATGATACACTGCCATTCTGCCTGCTTTATGCTGGTTGCAAAACCAGAACAGGTTTGCTTGAAACCCAGCAGTAACTCTTCGCTCCTGTTTTAATCCTGGGAATTTAATGCAGGGCAGAGATTCGGTTTAGGAGAGAGGACTCAGGGAGTGACCAGCCTGCCCACAGAGTGCAGAACCTGCACTCACTTCCCTGGTCGCTGCAGTAATTCTGAACAACCTCCCCTCAGCCCAGCTTAGGCCTGACCCATGTGTAATTTGCAGGTCTTATGGTGCTTGCTGTGTCTGGGTCATGGCAATATGGTCAGCTTGACTTGGGAGAAAGCTTGTGACTTTTTGCAGGAGGAGGGCAAGCAGCCACCCCCTTGACAGTCTATCAATAATTCTTTGTGGGGATAGAAAAGCAGACAACAGTTAAGATAGGAAATTGTCTTTTAAAGGGGAGGTTGGTAAAATCATAGAACTGGCCAAGATGGCACCCACTTGGCCTTCCTGCCGGGAGTCATGCAGCAAACATTCCTCCCCTTCTTTCCAGCAGGAATAAAAGCTGCAGGGTTGTGCTAAAAGTACCCACAGACAGTGCCACCAGCAGAGCCCACACATGGGTATCAGGTGGATGGGACGGAACCCCTTTCAGTGAGTTGTCAGTCTCAGTGCCCAGATCCTTCCAGGCTGTAGTCCTCAACCTGTAGGCCACAACCCCTTTGGGAACCAAATGACTCTTCATAGGGTTTGCCTAAGACCATCGGAAAACACTGATATTTACATTACAATGCATAACAGTAGCAAAATTACAGTTTTGAAGTAGCGATGAAAATAATTTTATGGATGGGGGCCACCACAACATCAGGTCATCACATTAGGAAGGCTGAGAGCCACTGACCTATGGCCTTTTACCTAGCCTGGGGTGATTGTGTGCTGGGGACCTCAAGGGCTCTGTGTAGCACTTGGGGTGGGACTTGCTTGGATGTGGAATCTGTGACTCTTGACCCACTTAGGTTTTGCCTGAGGGGAGGGCGAGTACCTGCACAGGCTCCTGAGGTGCCAGCACTGACCTGTGGTTCTGTCCTGCCACTCACCTGAAGGGACAGACAGTTTCCTTTCCTTGACTTTGTGTTTCCCTCCATCAGTATTGGCTGTTGACATCTGTGTTCTGAAGTTAGAGTGACAGACTTTAGATGGGGAGATACTCAAAGACTATGGGAAGCCCCACTCAGCCTGTTCCTCAGCCAACGATTGCTGCTTTGTTTTGTGTTTTTAAGACATAGTCAGTCTCACTATATAGCTCTCGCTGGCCCACAACTCTCTATGTAAAACAGACTGACCTCAAACTCACAAGATCCACCTGCTTCTGCCTTCTGAGTGCTAGAGTTGAAGGCATGTGCTTCCATACCCAGCAATCACCGAGCGCCATCTCTACACCAGGGGAATTTCACAGAGTGTCAACAGATCGGGACCACAGGATGCCCTCCTGCTGCTGGAGAAGAATGCCACCTCCAGCTCCGTCTGCCATTTCTTCCAAAATGATTGCCAGAGGCTGAGTCCTGGGGACTTGCCAGTTCTCCCACACCACACTCAGACAAGGAGGTCAGTGGGGCAGGGACAGCAGCAGCAGCTACAACAACTAGATTCCTGCCCACAAAGCACACAGCCAAGCTCTTACGTTGTCCTTAGTAGGGACAGGGCGCTCAGAGACCAGTTTCCACATGGAGGGAGATCCTAGAAACCAGCTCTGGCTTTCTGCCCATCACAACAGGCTACTCAGCTCCCATCAGTACTGTAGGGTCCAGATCTGGGCTTAGAGCTGGCCTTCAGTCACACCCAGCTTGTCTTTCCTGTGGGCTCCAGATTCTGGTTAATGTGGGATTTGTAGCCCACACACAACAGTCTCTAAGCCCCTTCTGCTTCAGCTGGAGATAACTGCCTATCACCTGGTGTTGGAAAACTGGCTGCCCCGGGAGCTTTCAGAGGAGACGACATGCTGATACCTGACATCTGGGAAGATGAGCAGGGGTTCGATGGGCTTCATATATTCCTCCATGTGCTCCAGGATGCTGTTGAGCCTCTGCATACACAGGTCTCGCTCCGTATCATGCAAGGTGTCCGATTTCTGTTCCAACTCAAACCACAGCCTATTGTCCAGGGCTGCTTAGACATGACTTCCCACCAAATTGGGGGAGACCCCAGGGAAAGAACTGTGCTCCAGTCCTTCCACACAGAGTGCTGGCATGCTCTGGTCCTTCCCAGCACCGTGCTCCCAGTGGTTTTCCTGAGGCTATCCTGACTTCTCAGCCCTGTCCCTGTCTTCTGCGGACACTGCGGAGTAGCCTGCTGGTAGGAATAGGCCCAGGACAGCTAACCCCATGCTCTGCAGAGAAGAGGTAACCAAACACCTTTGCTGGGGCCAGACTCAAGTTAAGGACTCAGGGGAGCACTCCACCTTTCCCAAGGCTTCACCTTCATCCTCTTGAAATCTAGTCCCAAACCCTGGCCCAACCCAAACTTGAAGGCCTGGCTTTCCCTGGGATGGACTACAGTCTGCAATATGGCTTGAGAGCCTTAGACCTCAAGTGCTTGGGTTCAAGGTCATATCTTTGCTGTGTACCTGGGTCTGTGTCTGCTTCTGGAACCACTGGACCCTGGTCAACAAGTCTGAGAAGGCAGTTGGACTCATAGTCACCCGCATTACCTTGCAGTAACCTGTATGTAGAGACATACCCATGGCCTTTACAGGACTCAGAGTGAACCAATAGGGGTGTGTGAACAGTTACAGATGTAAGAGTCCTTGTGGACATACTCAACCTTGATGTGTCAGAGGTGAGGCATGTGATAGGAATGTCTTCACATGTCCTCTCTGGGCAGCACAAGGGCTGGTACCCAGAAAGTTCAGGCAAAGACAAAACACAGTGGTTATTGGCAAGGGAGCTCTTCGGAGGTATAGATTCTCTGGATCCCTGAGAAAGATGTGATGATTCTGTTTTCTATTCTGGGCTCAGCCTCCCCTCCCCCCCCATCTGGAAGTGAGAGGTCCTCCTGTGTGGTAGGGATTTCTCAACCCACCGCAATCCATCTGGAGTCTATGGGAGGAGCCCTGCTTATACCCAAGCTTACCGCCCACTGGTACCGTTTTCCCCTTGGGTGCAGGCATGGACTTTGGTCTCTCAAAGGCAGCACCATACAGATAGGACCTGCAAGTAGAGTGACGGTCACAAGCCCATTCCCAGAGGAGGTAAATAGCAAGGCACACAGGTCTCAGGAGCGCATCGAGACAATCTGCAGCTGGCACCTAACAGGTACCTTTCCTTGTTTACTTTGCCAGGCAGAGGACTTGGAATTACAAGACTCAGCAGTGTAGGCCTACACAGACCTAAGAGGAAAACCCTGTGTGGGCACAGATCACAGAGTGTCTCCATCCCAATATAGTCCCCAGTATCATGGAAATTCATCCTGGCCTTCTCCAGGAGGGTCAGAGGAGGACTTTCCAGGTCTCTGGATTGAACGCCTGTCAAGTAGGCTAGCTGAGTCTGCCCATCATGCTTTCTAGCTGGACCAGTCTGCCTCAGTGTAGGAGCTGAGGTGTGGTAAACTTGCTATGCCCATGCCTCCTTGCTTGGCTTCTCAAAAGGGCAGAGCTTTACAGCGATGGGTGGGGGAGACCTCACCTGTCTTGTGAGTGCTGCAGAAAGAGGATCCGGAACATGGGTGGAATCTCATTCAGGAAGGTGAAATGCTGATCTGTGACACAGAGGCCCTGCCATGCCTGTGTGTGACAGGGGAAAATCACTCAGGGCCCAAGGCCCTTGCTCTGTGAGATGCATTACTACCACAAGAGGGCAGTGGAGGCATGAGAAGTTCACTGGCTCCTCTAAAATGTCCTGCTCTGCCTATTTGTTGAAGTGGTTTCCAGAAACCTTAAGCAGCATTTCTTCAATAAGGTCCTTACTGCCGGGCAGTAGTGGTGCATACCTTTAATCCCAGCACTGGTGATGCAGAGGCAGGCAGATCTTTGTGAGTTCCTGGCCATCCTGGTTCCATGACAACCAGGGTTACACAAAGAAACCTTGTCTCGAAAAGCAAAACAAAACAAAAACAAAGCCCTTACTACTTCTTCCAGAAAGAGTGGCATGTGGCCCTCAACACTTGCTGTGGGGATGATGGAGAGAGTGCCTGATGTTCCCTGCAAGAATCATAGTTTGGCCTGCTGCTCCTTTTGTATCCGCTGGGGGATTTGTCTGAGTAGAATGCCACTAACCTGGCCCAGAGTTCTCACTACTCCGAGGTATCCAGGGGTGGCTTCTCATGGGGTTTGTGCTGGTGTAGGGTCACCTGCATTTCTGAGTCTGTGGTTGTCACTAGTGCAGGGACGCTCTCTGTTTTACCTCTATACATGGTCCCCATCCTGGTAATACTGAACACACATCAGCTCTTCCTCCAGGCCCAGCATCCAAGCCAGTGGCCCTGCTCATTACCTGGCCACCCTTAAACCTTGCCCCTCTGTTTCCTCTCTTCCAAGTCCCAGGGAGGCTGGATTTTTCATCTTGGGGGATAGACCCTGGTTCTCAGGTGTAACTTCACCCCCAGTGGTGATGCCCAGAGATGTCTTGAGGGAGCACTGCTGTGTGGTTTGGGAGTTGTCACAGAATGCTCCCAGGGTCCTTGTTGGTACAAGATGTACCTCGTACAACAGAGAAAGAGCCAGTCTGAAGTGAAAAGTGAGTCTGCAGGAAGGGAAAATATCCGGGCCACCCCCAAAGAGGACCAAGAGGCAGCTAGGGGTGAGGAGGAGTGAAAGGGGCTTGGCCAGCCCGCTCTCATCATCTGTCTTGTCTGTGGTTGGCGAAATTTCATCACAGTTTTTCTTGACCCACTTTGTCAGAGCACAGATGAAACTGGCTAGTCGCTGCACTTTACCAAGGTCTAGGTGTTGTGGAATATTCCTCCACACTGTGTGAAGATACGTCACTGTGACTGGTTTAATAAAAAGCTGAACAGCCAATAGCTAGGAAGGGTTTTGGGTGCCGAGAGAAGAAGGGCGGAGTAGAGAGGAGTAGTCAACCAGATGCAGAGGAAGCATGACAAGTAGGAGATGAGTCATATGGCAACTGCAGATTAATAGAAATGGGTTAATTTAAGTTATAAGAGCTAGTTAGAAACAAGCTTAAGCTATTGGCCGAGCTTTCATAATTAATAATAAGTCTCCATGTCATTATTTGTGAATTGGCGGTACTACAAAAAAAAGTCTGACTACACCTAGGCTCCCCTGGGGCAAGTGAGGGGAAGGAACTACAATTCTCTCAGCTTGCTTGTCCTTGTACCCACAGCGACTGAGGCTCAGAGGGGTTGAGTGGTTGGTCCTCTAGACCCACACAGCTAGACTTGGTAAGGCATACATCGCTGTCCTCTTAGCCGTCAGTGAGCGAGCACAGAGGCCTGTAGGCCACAGGAGGAGGTTTGTAGGCTCCTTTCCCATTACCCTGGAAGTGGCTGCCAGCCTCTGCTCCACACTGGCAAACAGGCTGGTGGAGGTCCTGTCCTGCTGCCTCAGCCGCTGGTGGAGGTGCAGCAGGGCCGCCAGCTGGGAGCTGCTGGTGTTGTTCGTGGCAGTGAGCAGAACATCCCGCATCATCTGTGAGGTGGAACAGCTCTGAAAGCAGAACAGAGAATGGCAGTCTGTGCAGTGTGGAAGGGCAGAGGGTGAGTGGGCATCTGGGAGTCTGTGTGGGTCACCCTCAGCTGGACTCCGTCCACCGTGTAGCTGTACTATGCCAGCTCGGAGGGTAGTACATTATGGAGACTTGGGGTACAGGGTGAGCACAGCATGTGTTCGCTAGCTACAAGAACAGGTACCTGGATGGCTTCCATTACTTGAGGACTAGCACAACCTAAGACTCAGAGAACAGGGTGGGGTCTCTTCATCTTTCAACCACAGGGCCACCCTAGTCCTGTCTAATAGAGAGCAGTGTGGCTGCCTGAAACTTACAGACAAGGGCCCTTTTAGGGATGGGCAGAGGATGTGCGTACCTGAGACAGTGACAGGAACTGACAGGTGGTTATGGGGTCCAGGATGCCAATGCACTCCACCATCTCTAAGCTGGCCATGGCTGCGATGTCCAGAAGGCTGCTGCTCAGGGCAGCCTGCAAACACTGCAGCAGTACCTCTGACGTCTGAGCCAGGAACCTCTGGGCCAGCACCACCCTCTTCTGTGGACAGTGCAAAGTTCAAGGTAAGGCGGGCTCTTCAGGCAGAGGCCACCAGGAGACAGGTAGGGAGTGCTGCATACCTTCAGACCCTCAGCCTTCCGGTTTTGCTCCCTGGGGGCTTCCTTCAAGCTTGTGGAGTCCCTGGAGGAGGTCTCTGCATTCTTGTCGCTTGTGTCCGTCTCCACCTCCATCGATCTCAGGCTGTTCTGTTTAGCACCTACCTATGGTGTACACCATGTGGTAAGAGGTGTTTGTGGATTCCTACCTGGTTGGCAGGGAAAACAGACGCCAGGGGAGGGGAAGATGGTAGGGATCTGTAGGCCCTGGAAGTTGTACGCAACCTGGAGCCATGTTTTTTTTTGGGGGGGGGGTCAAAGGTGTTACCAATTTGGTGGGAAGGGAGAAGCAATCTCCCAGTGGCACACACAAAGAGTGCGAGAAAAGCCAGGCCCTGGCCCAGCTGGCATCGGGGGACGCCACCTCTCATACTTTGCCAAAATTTGTCAATGCTGTCAAAACCCACCAGACCCTGGCCACCAGCAGCTTTAACAGATCAAGGAAGAAATCACAGTGGCATTTGGGAAACAAACTCGGAGAATGAAAGTTCTACACATTAAACTTAGAAGGTTTCACAGAAATGTGCTTAGAGGAAGATCCTGCCTGGAAGACAGACAGAGAGAGCTCGGAAGAAGGAAGGTGAGCTTTGGTGTCAGCGGCAGCCAGCCACACCTAAGGAAGAGGAAAGGAGCAAATTATGTAGGCAGCATCTCCAGGGGTCTGGGAGGAAGCTGGTGTGTTTCCTGGAGCCTCCTGAACTCCACACAGGGGTCATTACCGTTTAGAGATAGCCTTCCTTGTCTTACAGATGAAGACCCTAACTCGGGACAGACAGGCGAGGGGCTCGTGCTTCTGCATCTCAAGCCCCTGACTTTGTGACCTGGGCAGGAGTTACAAACATCTGCTTACCCAGCGTGGGTCTTACTGGTCTCTTGCTGTCTACATCCTGAGGATTCAGGACAAACAACCCTGGGTACTAAGCCAAGGTCTTCAGAGCCAGCTGACTGGGAGCTTCTCTGGGTGTTGAGTCCTGGGGAATGGCTTGCTACCCTGGGTTGTGAAGGCTCCTATAGGAGCTTGTCTGCTAAGCACTCTGGCTTGTCCCTTGAGGCTGGTGCCATCTTGGGGTAGAAGTGCCTCTGTGCAGGCTCTTGGGAAGGGGACCTGTGCTGAGAGACTTCATCATTCATTGCTGAAGTAGCAATTAATGATCAGAATTAACCTCTGATGGAGAAAATAAACTGGGTGCTTTATATTCTCAAAAAGGCCCTCGAAAAAGGAAATTCCTTCTCACTGGGGCATCACTGGTAAGAGCTGCAGCCCCTGATCTCATGTAGGCCCTCCCTTTGTTCTAGTGCTGAGAGAAAATGCGAATATGAACCAAGGGTTCATTTTCCTTCCACAGCTTATGCAAGTTGCCATGGCTACTGTGATGCTGTGTTTCCAGCTACCTTGAAAGCAAAAGCAAAACCCAATGCATACATTTTTACATTTATCAATTCTAGTGTTTCCTCCTTGTTTTACATTTATCAATTATACACTTATAGTTTAACTAACCACATAAATGTAGTTTTACGCACTAACCCCTTTCTCCCTTCTTAGCAACCATAGCCATTTAACCCTTCCCCACCTCTTAAATTTACAAGTTGAGTTCCCCCTGGGACTTAAGTTTGCCTGGTGAGTCACATATCCTAGCTTTTGTCAAGACCTTGCCTGCCTTGCTGGCTCTGGGAGATATGCATGCTGGGTATCCTTACTGTTGTCAGAGCATCGCTAATTGTATCGGTGGGAATACAAACTTGAAACCTTGTGGGGATCTAGGAGGATTTTTAACGGGAGAATTTTTTTGTTTTGTTTTGTTTTGTTTTTTTCTAGACATGGTTTCTCTGTTTTGCTTTGGAGCCTGTCCTGGAACTAGCTCTTGTAGACCAGGCTGGTCTTGAACTGACAGAGATCCACCTGCCTCTGCCTCCCAAGTGCTGGGATTAAAGGCGTGCACCACCACCACCTGGCTAAAGGGAGAATTTTTTAAGAAGAAACTTCTGAAGAGAAATTTAAGAGAGCTTTTAGAGAAAGAACTTTTGAGGTGAGAACTTCTGGAGAGAAACTTTTAATGAGAACTTTAGGGAAGAACTCTTATTGAAGAATAAGGGGTCTTGAGGAGAATGATACCTGTGTGAACTGATTTGTTTTCAGCCTCAGACCTTTTTAGCCGACCCCTACCCACCTGCTATAAGCCTCCTGCCTGAACTGTCATTAGACCTGGAACAGGCAGGCTTCTAAGAGCTGTCACAGGGTTCTGAATTGGGAGGGTGCTTCTTTCAGAGAACTCAGCCCTAAAAGAGGGTGGACCCTGGGAGGAGCAGAGGAAAAGGTACCCAAGCTGTGTGTTATATAGAGGGCCAAAGAGGCAGACAACATCCATCCTGGTGTATCTTAGCATGGAGACACCCCAGATAACGCACAAGCTTTCTGAAGCTCTCAGGGGCCTGTGCACAACCAGACATAAGCCACCAAGACGGAGAAGCCAGGGCCAGACCCTTCCTACTTGAGTTGTTGGAACACCTCTTACATCCCAATTCTACAGCCAAAGTGGAGCAATCGAGGATTGGACTTCAGTGGGAAGAAGGGGCACCTACCAAGAGGTCTTCATCCCAGCAGAAGGAAGCATACACAGGGTCTGTCTGCACGGAAAGCAGATGGAGGGCCTTGCCAGCCAGGACCAGAAGCTGGGCACGGATGTCCACGCAGCCGACACACAGCGGTTGCAGACTCTCCAGCTGTGCCAGCACTGTGTGCGGCAAGGTCCGCTTCAGCATGAACCATTGCTTCAGGAAGACAAGAAGGTGCCATGATCACCAATGGCTGCCACTCGACCTCCACCCAGTCACCTAGAGACCTCAGATAGATGCCTTCTAGGGCTGCCTCGCAGGGAACATCTGGGCACTTTGAGCTGTGCCTTTGCTCTGTGCAGTCCTGTATGGTAGCGTAAGGGGGTGTCCCTGGGACTTAGATATTGTGAGAATAATAAAAGACAACTTCTAGTAATATAAACCAGAAGTCATTATAGATAGAGGTTAACTGTAGGATTCATTTATGTTTACCCTAAATTAACCTGACTCGTTTCATGGCATTTAAGAGAACGGGAGAGTGCTGGAGCTACAGTTGAGCATGTGCAAGGCCCTGAGTTCTATTTCTAGAACTGCTTAAATGTAGGAAAGAAGGGAGGGAGGAGGGAGGCAGGCAGGCAGGGAGGGAGGGAGGGAGGGAGGGAGGGAGGGAAAGAAAGTAGAAGGGGGGGTTTTCTTCCAAATAGGTATTCACTTATTCAGTTTATTCTGTTTACAGTGCTGGGAGGGATTGGGGCAGGGGCTAACCCCAAGGCCTGGGAATGGAAACTGTAAGCCTACACAGGAAACCCCTCCTAATAAGCTCTTCATTATTAGTTAATTCCTCTTGGTGATCAGACAGTGCCTCTCTGCACCAAGGTGTGAGAGTGGTCAAAAGCTGGGTGGGTGGGGACTGGAGGTCCCATAGATTGGCACCCTGCTTTCAGTGTGACTGCAGACCCCCAGGAGAGAACATAGGCTAAGGGTCCCTGCGGTCACCAGGCCAATGGATGAGTAGTCGCTGGTGTTCTGAAGGAAGTCTGCAAGTAGCTTCTCAAAAGAGCCCTGCTCCAGCTGCAACTCCAAGGCCTCCTTGCAGACTAACTGCTGCATGTCCACGCATGTCTCTACCAGGCGGAGTTTGAGGCGGGCCAGCCTCCTCATCAGTGGGGAGTTGATGTTCTGCACCTGAGACAGTTGGGAGGTGGGTAAGGCAAGGCGCACTTCCCGCTGAGACCAGCCATTGGTAAGCACTGTGACAAAGGCACAGCTGACATGTCATAGACAACACACATTTGAAGTGGAAGCTGAAGTGTAAAGTGGATATACTTTGACATAGCAATAGGTGCCACACCATGCCCAGCCCAAGTAAAGGAATGTGGCCTTCACTCTCTGGACTTCCCCACATCCTTTCTTGAGCCTGTGTTGACATCAGGCTCTTTTCTGCTCTAAGTTACTCCATATTGTATAAACAGTGTTTTTTTTTTTCTTCTTCAGGCTGGGCCTTTGCCCTAAGAGACTCCTCTTCACAAACAACTTTGAGGGTGGAGGTTAACTGAATTCCTGGCTGGACCCACAAACACCACCATCTGTCTGGCACCACCCATGCAACACAGACAGATAAATGGGTTATTCCTGGGAAAATGAAGCCACGCTATACAATTACTGGGCTAAACTGAAACCATATGGGTATGTATATGAGTGTATCAAAATCATATTAAGGAAACCAGGCCTAAGAACTTTATCAGAACATCAAACCAGGAAAAGGACTTGACTCCCTCACCTGCCCCCATTAAGGGATGGGCACCTAACACTGTTTATCATCTGTTACCTGGTATGTGTACATCAAGGACTCATGGGCAGAGAACCTCCAGCTGTCCTGGGGCACCTAACACTGTTTATCATCTGTTACCTGGTATGTGTACATCAAGGACTCATGGGCAGAGAACCTCCAGCTGTCCTGGGGCGTCTGCTCTGCTTGGTTGCCCAGCTCTCTCTAATTGTTCACACATTCGCCCATTCAGACCCAACCCTGCTCTGACCTGGTTGTGCCCTGTCACCCCTGCAGTTGACTAGGTTTTTGCTCTCAAACCTGACTCTTCCTCAGCTCAGTCTCTATGGCAACAGCTTCTTCTTTTCTGGATTCCTTTTCAATTCACACTCCACTAGAACTTCTCTTAGCCCACCTCCAGAACGTCTTGAACCCTTCAGTAGCCTCTTTAACTTGCATTCTTTCTGTAATTCACACATATTCATATGTAGACATATTTCCTGTGTGCTGTGTGATATAAGAGTCAACATTTGTAATTAAGATTGGAAAACAAAAACTCGAATTTGTCTTGGCCAGATTACTAAAGTAGGCAGATAATCTGGCAAATTGCTGCCGTTAACACTCTTAAACCTTGTGAATTTATTTTATTCAACAAACCCTCATGCTGTAAAAAACACACAAATATGTTCTTCCCTGTTTCTGACATAGCAGGATCAAGGCAGCTTTCCCTTCTCCCAAGTGACAACGACTTTGTGGTGCGATAAACCAGTGTTGTATAAATGGCATCATACAGCACGAGACAGTTTTGTCCACTTTACCTCGGTGTGGTTATTTTGAGACTCATCCACATGCACAAGGATGGTGCTTGTCTCTTCACGCGCTTGTTTTCCATGTATTTGAAAAGATGTCTCTTCAAATAATTTACTTACTCTTAATATTTTACCTTTAAAGTTTGAGAGTTCTTCATGCATTCCTCTATCGAGGAATAAAATTTGCAAATGTTTTCTCCAAGTCTGTGGTTTTTTTCACCTTTCTCTTGATAGTATATTTTAAAGAGAAGAATTTATCAATTTATCCTTTCATTGGATTGTATTTGCCAAATATGCCATCACCAAGGGATTTTTCCTGTGTGTTCTAGGCTTTTGGTTTAGGTTTCTGATCCATTTGAAGTTATTTTCTTCTTCAGTCTGAGGTATGAGTGGAGTTCAGGTTTTGAACATGCATTTTCTACTGTTCTAGCATCATCTAAAGACTATCCTTTGTCCATAGAGTTGTGCATCTCCTACAGACTCTATGTGTGTCTCTATTTCCGGACTGTCAGGTTTGTTCCGTTGATCTGTTTGTTTATTTTCCTATTAAACACACAGTCTTTCTTTTTTCAGCTACTGACCATGTAACATTTAAAAAAAAGATTTATCTATTTATTTATTATGTGTACAGTGTTCAGCCTGCCTGTATGCTTGGATACCAAAAGAGGGCAAAGTATATCATTACAGATGGTTGTGAGCCACCATGTGGTTGGGAATTGAACTCAGGACCTCTGGAAAAGCAGTCAAGTGCTCTTAGCCTCTGAACTATCTCTCCAGCTCTGGATTGTTGTACCTCTATAATAGGATTTAAACAGGTACCACTGGACTTCTAATTCTCTTTTGAAATTGTCTTGGCTATTTTAGACCTTCCTTACTTTAAAATAATGTTGTCAATATGTATCAACAAGTATCTGTAGTAATCAGTTATGGTTAAGGAATAATTGACATCTTACCAATATTTAGTCTTCTGATGTAGGAATGTGAATTTTTGCTTTCATTAATTTAAGCCTTCTTTAACTATTCTCAGCTGTGTTTTGTTGTTCTCAGAGCATAAGCATTCACATTTTGGGGGTCAAATTTTATACTTAAGTAGTTGTAAATGATACTGCTTTAATTTTAATATACATTTAATCATTCTTTGTATAGAAATATAATGTATATACTACATAACCATGAAATGCAACTAAACTTGCTCATTAACTTTAATTTAGCTTGTAGTTTTTCTTTTTGGTATATTACATGATTTTCTATAAAATCATGTCATTTCTGAAAAAATGTTTTCCTTGCATGTTCCTTCTGTCAATCTGGATGCTTTTTAGTTTTGTTTTTGTTTTTCGAGGCAGAGTTTCTCTTGTATAATTTTGGAGCTTTTCCTAGAACTCACTTTGTAGACCAGACTGACTTTGAACTCACAAAGATCTGCCTGCCTCTGCCTCCTGAGTGCTGGGATTATAGACGTTGCACCACCACCACCTGGCTGTGACTTTGTCCTTTAAAGAGTTGCAGTGAGTTTGAGCCTCAGTTCAGAGCCTCACTATGTCCAAGGTCTTAAGAATTCTTGTTTGGTGGATTTTATTTGTTTTGGGCATTGCTGTGAATTTTCACTGACTTTTTCCCTCCATCTTTAGTTCCTATTCTACTCTTTGTTTTGGATTCAGTTTGTCCTTTGTTTTTTTAAGGTAAAGGGGAGACCATTGACTTCTGGCCCATTACTGTAACTGTTATTACTCAGACATTTAGTGCTTGTTCCAGATTCCCCCGAAGTACTATACTGACAGCATCTCAAACTCCTTGATGTCCTCTCCTTCCTTCATCTCAAAACATTTCATCTCTGGCTTCTTCCATGGCCTAGAGCTGCTGGCTGTATTCTACTTAAATTCCAAACATTTGGGGTTTCCCATGCACACAATGTTTTTGCTTTTTTTATCTGAAGTAAAAGCAAAATAATGGAATTAACAAATTTGAAGTATGAAGACTAGAGAGATGACTCAGTGGTTAAGAGCACTTTCTACTCCTGCAGAGGACCCAGGTTTGATTCCCAGCACCTATGTGGTGGTTCACAACCATCTGTAACTCCAGTTCCAAGAGATCTCATACCCTCTTCTGACCTATATGAGCACCAGGCTTGCAGGTAAAGCACTCACAGGCAAAACACTCATAGACATGAATCTACAGTGTTATGAAATCATTATTGGTCCAGTTCCCAAACATTACAACATCATTCTACAAGGACACTAATGCTAGTAGTCACTCCTTATTCCCATCCTTGTTCCCCAGAAACCACTAGCACATTTTCTGTGTCTATGGATTTTTCTACTCCCTGTTATTTTTTAGGATTTATTTATGTATGCCTGCATGCCAGAGGAAGGTGTCAAATCTCATTATAGGTGGTGTGAACTGCCATGTGGTTGCTGGGAATTGAACTCAGGACCTCTGGAAAAGCAGTCAATGTTTTTAACATCCTAGCCATCTCTCCAGCCCCTACTTCCTGGTTTTGTCGTCCAATCTAATTCCATCCAATGCTCTGTGTGGTTCAAATTTGATGACACTCATCTTATGGTCCTTCAGGAACCATCTATCTTATTTTTTGAGACACAGTCTCTTGCTGGTTTGGACCTTGCCAAGTATGCCAGGATGCCTAGCCAGTGAGCCTAGGGATCCACCATCTCTTCTCCAGTGCTGGAATTAGAAGCACAAGACATCATGTCTACTTCTTCTGCTACATGGATTCTAAGGTTTTAGGGGTAGAAGGTGAGGTTTTCTTCTATACAAGAGTACTTCCAGCTTCTGGACCAGATCTGATGGAAGGTGCTGAGGTCCAACGTGAGAGAGGCCTAGACGGCCCAGAGAATATATACAACTTTCTTGACTGAACTATGTCCCCATCCCTTGTATATGGGTTTTTAAAAAAAATACATTGGTGTGTGTGTGTGTGTGTGTGTGTGTGTGTGTGCTTTTATTGGATTGGACCTCACTGGGTAGCTTAGCTTGGAACTCATCCTCCCCTTGCCTCAGTTTCCCAGGCATGCCCCATGCACCTAGTTGGTTTGTCTTAAAATCAGATCTGTTAGGCAATGCTGTCCTATACACAGACATGACTACAATGTGCAGGCTCATACTTACATCGTGAAGGGACAGTATCCCCTGGATTCTGTGAAATAACTCTTCTTCCTCAGCGATAGCTCTCTGGGACAAGTCATACACTTCTAGGCAATAGGCAGTTTTTTGTTCCTCATCTTCCTCCTTTTGAGCACATAACCTTTATACAATAAAAGAGTGAAATTTAGAATAAAGATGTTCTAACTAATATATTATACTAGTATCTGTTATACTGCTTAATATATAATATACAATTTCTACATAATTGTGGTATACATTTTATCGGTACCTAAAAATTTTGCAGTTAAATGTTTTATGAAGTTATTTTCAGTACATCTTATGTATTTATTTTCAATGTGTATGTAGATTTGTTCATTTATATTTAGGGGTACATGTATGTGCATACGGAGGTCAAAGATCAACCCTTTCTTTGGAGACAGGATCTCACACTCACACTGGCCTAGAACTCACAAAGTAGGCTAGACCGCTAGCCAGCAATCCCCAAGGATCAACTTGTCTTTATCTCCCTAGTGCTGGCATTGCACACGTACACATCATTCTTGACTTCTTTGTATGGATTCTGTGGGAATGAACTCAAGTCCTTGCGCTTGCAAGGCAAATGGTTTACCAACTGAGCCATCTTCCCATCCTTCTAAATACACTTTAAAACAAGATGTCTAACAGTTGGAATGACACAGTACATACAATGTGATGAAGCGACACACCAATTTCCACCTGCTGGCTCAGTCACCTACTTCCCTGCCTTCCTGGTGGCCCACAATGGTGCTGCAGTACACCTGTGGTGACTTGGGTGTTGGCTGATCATGGCTCCTGGAGGCAGGGTCACACCTACACAGGATTTGTTCATATGTAAAAGACGTGTGGGTATCCAGGACAGACAGAGACACCGTGAGAAGCACTGGGGGCTGCACAGCCATTGGAATATGCAGCTGTAGCAGCAATAGGAATAGCTTCTGGGGACCCTGCAGGATTGAAGTGGTGGGTGGCAGGGAGGAATTTGGGGAGGGAGCTGGTTCTAGTCATGTCTGGGGCTGAGGAGGAGAGGGCTGTCTGGGGGAGCTCAAAGGTGGGCCCTGCTCAGAGGGCAGAGCCATGGGCAGCTCCACTGTGTGGGTGGAGTGTGTGGTGATGCCCTTACTTCTTTATCTGCGCATGCTCTAGTTTTAAGTCCACACATTTCTTCTTGTAGCCATTGAGTATCAAGTTTTTTTCCACTTCCAACAGGTGCTGTTCTAGATCCTCCAGCAAAAATGGGCACTCAAGAAGTTCTCTGTCAACCAAGTTGAATGAAAGTTGGACTTGAAGTGTCACACACCTGCTAGACAAATATCTCCTCAGGATGGTGGAGACTGAAGTTTCCCCCACCAGATTCAAAAGCCCAAGACCACAGCAGCCCTTCTTCTGCCCAGTGTCTACCCAGGCACATTGAACCTAGTACCAAAGAGCCTTTTCCCCCATCTAAGATGGACATCATACAGCCATGGCCTTGGATCAATAAAGTTAGAATCTAATAACCCCACCTAGGTATCAGATTCACCCCTGGAAAACAGGAAAACCATGCTGATATGAGACTGCCTACAGACTCCCACTAGGACCAGCTGGTGGGACACAGAGCTCACAGCACTTTCCAGAGAGGAGTCAGAAGCAGAAACAAGGCAAGGATCCCTGCATCTGTGGTCAGTGAAGCTCAGAGGACTCTTGGGAAAAGGGTCTGTGATGTGACTTGAAGTCTGTGCTGGCATGTGTGGGAGAAGAGGGGTTCTCTGACAGTACCCCACAAGGGGGCAAAATCCAGAGGCTCGGGGAGTCATTGGAAAGACACTGGACATGTGAGCTGTCTGGGAGGAAGTCATGACTCCTCTGTGGCACATGGTAGAAGGAAGGTCTGCTACTCAGAGGAACCTGAGGACGCGTGGGACACCCAGAGCAGGGAAAGAGTGCATGGTTCTGAAGGATTTGAGCCTTCCTGGGTTTGGCACATATAGCATGAGAGACTGTATGGGGAAGTAGCTGTAGCTTTGGTACAGTAGGCATCATTACCTGACCTCCAGGTCCATGATGAGGAATTCCAGCAGGGATACTCGGTTTGGCCTTTCTTTCTGGAGGACCTTGAAAGTATCTATGAGTTTCTGAAAGAGTCTGCAAACCTGGACGTGATGGTCATGTGTCACCATGTCATTCAGCAAGGTCTGGGGACAGGACCTCAGCACATACTCTCCCCCATGCATCCCACATTGTCCATTGGCCACCCTGACTCACTGTGATTTCTTTGTCATCTTCTTCAGAGGATAAGATGGCCTCAGCCAGAGTCAGGGTTGAGTTGTACCAGAACTCTTCAGCTCCACCTAGCTGCTGGGCCCTCTCAATCAGGAGCATAGCTTGTCCATGGTTCTTTTCCTTGTTGGCCAGCTGTGCTAGAAGCAACATGCTCTGTGCTTCTGAACAGGTATCACCTAGCTCCTAAAAACAGGAATAGACAATACGCAACAGACAGATGGGCAGATCCACTCAGGTTGGCACAGCCACTGATTGGGAGTGATAGTCCTCAGGAGTGGAAAGCAGGCCCAGAGAGTCACAGGAGCCAGCCTGTGCAGGATTCTGGTTATGCTGGCAACTCCTTTCTGCCCTGCAACCTGAGGTTGGCAGCCTCTTCCCTATGGAGGCTACTGTTAGAATCAGCTTTGCCATGTGTGGCAGCTTCCTGTCAACTTAACACAAGCTAAAGTCATCTGAGAGAAGGGTGTCTCAACTGAGAAAATATTTTCATAAGATTAGGCTGTATGCAAGCCTGTAGGGCATTTTCTTTTTCTATCTTTTTGTTTTTAAAGACAGGGTTTCTCTGTATAACAGCCCTAGCTGTCCTGGAACTTGTTTTGTAGACCAGGCTGGCCTTGAATTCAGAGATCTGCCTGAGTGCTGGGATTAAAGGCGTGTACCACCACACCTGGCTTTGTAGGGTATATTCTTAATTGATGATTGATGTGAGAGGGCCCAGCCCTTGTGGGTGGAGCCAGCCCTGGGCTGGTGGTCCTGGATTCTATAAGAAAGCAGGCTACACAAGACAGTAAGAAGTACCCTCCATGGCCTCTGCATCAGCTCTGGCCTCCATGTTCCTGCCCTTTTTGAGTTCCTGTTGTGACTTCTTTTGATGAACAGTGATATAAAAGTGTAAGTCAAATAAACCCCTTCTTCCTCAAGTTGTTTTGGTCATGGTGTTTTCATTACAGCAATAGAAACCCTAACTAAAGCAGATGGTGGTGGCACACACCTTTAGTCCCAGCACTAGGGAGGCAGAGGCAGGTGGATCTCTGTGAGTTCAAGACCAGCCTGGTCTACAAGAGCTAGTTCCAGGACAGACTCCAAAGCTACACAAAGAAACCCTGTCTCAAAAAGCTTAAAAGAAAGAAAGAAAAAAAGGAAAGAAGGAAAGAAAAAAGGGAAGAAAAAAGGGAAGAAAGAAAGAAAGAAAAGAAACCCTAACTAAGATAGCATACATGGACTTAGGGTCAGATAATCAATAACAAGCAGTGATGGTTCTATCTGGACCTGAGGAAATTCAGGTCTAAATATGGGCCAGAGGGTGTCCTTTGGAAGAGGGTATGTGGTGACCTATCTGAGCAGTACAAGGCCAGCTCCCTAGTCCTCCCAGGTTCTTGCTGGAACTGATCTCTCTCTTTGCAGAGGACTTCCTGGGGTCAAGGCCCAAGGGCAAGTCCACATGTGGATATTTCTTGGTGCCCAGAAAGATTCCAGCAACCATCCTCACCTATTCTAGGCAGCTGTGTAGCAAATGCCAGGGCAAACAATAAACCTTATGTGAAACATTAAGGGAGGGAGAAGACTCCCCCAGCACTGGACACTACTGTTCTCACAGCGGGAAGTACAGGACATTGCTTTCTGAGAAAATGTAAAGTCATGTGTCTGCTCAGACAGAGACAGATGGTCTGCTTTTGCAAAACCTGCTGAGACATGGGGTGCTACCTGTGCCCTGTGATGTGGAATAAACATAGGCAAGTTCTGGGAATGGTGTGATGATCATTCTACAGATTCACATATTGTTGGCCAATGGGATGGACCGGACCAGGAGTCTGCAATCCTACCCAGCACATGTCCTACTTGGATTCTATACCCTGAACTTCCCTGTGCTGGTGAGAGGGTATGCTGGACTCCAGATCCACAGGACAGCCTGGCTGTCTGCGGGGAGAAGGGGAGATTTTCATCTATACAAGAGTATTTCCAGCTTCTGAACAAGATCCTGTCAGGAGGGTGCTGAGCTCCAAGGTGGGAGAGGCAGGGACCTAGTGCGCCCAGAGAACAAGGCTAGCACACAAGCAAGATCAGCTTCAGCCAAGGCTGGGTTCTAGTAGACAGATCCTGAGCTGCAGTAGGGCTGGTGTCTGGGCACAAGCTGAGCAGAACCCTTTACATAGAAAGGACAGCATGGAGCCCAGGTAAGACTGCTATCTGGGAGGAAGATGATGGTGGGAGAGGAGTTAGGGAGCAGGGGTAAGGTTACATAGGGTCCTGGACTCAAGTTTGTGTGCTGAAAGTTGAGATTAAGAAGGGGGACTCCCTTCAGACATCCTATAAGGGTCACCCTCACATGACAGATGAGCCTAAGGTGATCGAGATGAAGGACGTAACCCCAAGAGAGGTGATGGGAGGATCCGAGCATGCCACAATGAAGGAAAGTACCAGAAGAAGCAGAGCTGCACACTCACATTAGCTCTGGCCCTGTAACTGGGATCTTAGTCATGCCGTCTGTGTTAGACAGCAGTGAGTCATGGGTGAGATGAAGAGGAGGAGGAAGCCAGGTGTAGATGTAGACTGTCAGGGCGACTGCAGCTGATGACAGAGTGCCGAATGCACAGACTATAGCCGACCTGTCAGCTCTGTCACCTCTAGGACAGGTTATCTCTGTGTACATACCTGTCCCCTCTCTGATACATGAGCACAGCACCTGTCATCTCTGAAATTTGAGCACCTGTCCTGAGTGGCTAGTCTTATGCCAACTTGACACTAGAAGTTAGAGTTACCTGAAAGGAAGGAACCCCAATTGGGAAAATGCCTCCATGTGATCTGGCTGTAAGGCATTTTCTTAATTAGTGACTGATGGGGGAGGGCACAGCCCATCACAGTGGATGGTGCCATCCCTGGACTGGTGGTCCTGACTTCTATAAGAGAGCAGGCTGAGCAAACCATGGGGAGCAACCCAGTAAGCAGCACCCCTCTGTAGCCTCTACATCAGCTTCTGCCTCCAGGTTCCTGCCCTGTTTGAGTTCCTGCCCTGACTTCCTTCTATGATGAGCAGCAATATGGACATGTAAGTCAAATAAACCCTTTCATTCCCAACTTGCTTTTTGGTCATGGTGTCTTGGCCATGGTGTTTTGTTGCAGCAATAGAAACCGTAACTAAGACAGTCCCTCTCTGTTACCTGAACATCTGTCTGGTCACTATAACCTTTTACTTGTTCCCTTCCTACTCACTTACATCTTTCTCCTCTTTTGCACCTCCTTCTCTGAAACCTGCAATCTCTTCCGCTAACAATACCTTCACACTTGTTCTCTTCACTATGCCTCTACATGGCTCTCATCTCTGCATACCTGTCTCATCCCTGATGTCTGCACAGCTGTTCTCCTACCCCAGCACCTGCACATCTGTTCTAAACCTGCTCCTTACATACCTGCTCCCTCTCTGGTACCTGCACTCCTCCTCTTACTGTACGGACCAGGGCCTGGGCTCACAGCTTTCTGGTGACACTGGATTTTTCCATCATTGCTGAACCTTCCTCTTTCCTTGAATTCTTCATAACAAGCCACAGGCTGCTTGTATCAGGATCTTGACCACATCCTCCCACTGAAAGCAATTCTAAGTCTGTCTCCAGGGGTTTGGAGGAGTTATGGGGATTGTAACTTGGGAGATTGACATTATTAGAACAGACAACTCAAACAACTTCTTCCATCCAGACTATCCAAGGTCAGTCATTCATTGAGGACAGAGTCCAGGATAGAAAATCCCTGCCAGGTGTAGTTTGGATCTTGGCACTCAAAAGTGGGCACTGGGGCCCCAGGTCTGGGTGCAAGTTCCTCTAGTAGGCAGTTGCTTAGAAAAGAACAGTCAGTGCTCCCAAGGCTATTGAGAGCTGGGCTCTGAGCAGTGCTCTGTGGAAGGTGCTAACTCAAGCCTCTCTGGGGACTCGGTGGAGACTCTGAGAAGTCTCTGACATCCTTAGATGAGGAGGAAGAATATATCTGAAGAGTTTAGGCCCGGGTCAAGATGGCTTCAGTGGGGATGGTGAGGTGTATTACCTGGAAGGTCTGTTGGGCCTCTGACAGGAGTAGCCGTGCTGGTTGGTGCAGCTCCAACTCCAGTAGGACCTCCCCTTTGAGCATCCACAGCTGGGGGTAGGACATCCCATCCAGGCCTTTGCCAGTCTCTCTGTTTAGCTTCAAAATCTGTGAGACACCGTGGCGCTAAGATACTCTGCCCCAGTCTGTGTCCCATGATGTGCTCGAGCTTAGAAGCAGTAACGCTCCATGACGCCAGCGTGCCACGGGGTGCACTGCCATAGGGACATCCCCAGCGTGCCCTACTCAGAACCTCAGGCCTTAGGCTTCTGCTTGCCTAGCTTCTGACACACCCCAATGTGGTTTCCCTTCTCCCTCAGGAATCATCAGCTACCTGCCTTCCAGGAGGGAGGGAGCAGAAGTGAGTGATCAGGATAGGATGGCTTATGGGTTGGTAGAGACAGCTCTCTGGGAGACAACTTCTGTGAGTCAGCTCAGCTTTATTCCCAAGTGCAGGGAACATATAGGATTGCAGATGATAGCTGGGGAATCACCTAATCTGAATTAAACAACACACTCCTATCACAAAGTTCCTAGTACAAGTCTTAGTTATTTGTAGAAGCACAATGTCTAATTACCATATGGGCAGCAGGGGGAGAGCACTAGCAAGGGATTATGCTAAAGGTCACATCAAAGACAAATCAGGCATCCAGGCTTGGGGAAAGCTTTCAGATAAGGGCAGGTAGAGAGCAGGAAGTCTCACTGGGGAAGGAGTCCTCTTTGTTGTAGAGTTTGGAGAGAGCTTCAAGACTATGGTAGACTGCAGCCTCTGACCAGTAAGGCCTCCCAATGCCCCAGGCCTTTGGGTCCCTTGTTTCTCCTTATCTACCCCATCCTACTCTCCCACTACTGATTGTAACTGCTGCTGAGCTGCCTGGGCTTCCCCTCTGTGAGTCTATCTGGGAAGCAGATGTGAGACCTGCAGGGCTGCCTTGTGTACAGCTGTGCTTTTTTTCTCCCTTTCCTGTGTCCCCGTCAGCATCCCCTAACCCCATTTTGGATGGGTCACTGAGTCCTTGATCCTCATTTGTCCTGAGTTCAGGTCCCAAAACAAATCCCACAAGTACTGACTTTAACGGACTCACAGATTCAGCACTCAGAGGAAACAAGGTTCTTTGGGATGGCTGTACATGGACTGAAGGGGACAACCAGTTGGTGTCAGGACAGCAGGGGCTTCAGGAGTCTAGCCAGACTAGATGTACTCTGCTCTGCAGAGCACCGCCCTCATTTTACTTCCCCTTGCTGGAACCCAGAACCTTGCACATTTTATGTAAGCAACTACACTGTATCTCTAGCCTGCTGATGCTTTAAGTTGCTGCTCAGGCCCCTGGTGATCTGTTTTATGTATAATTCTTGCCTTCTCTGAGGAAATTCAGGGTCCCTTAGTGGTGCAAACTTGGTCGGGTCTCTGAGTTTCCCATGACACCATGCCTAGCAGCGTATACAGTAAGCACTTCAGAAATCAATGGTGGATGGCTGGCTGACTCTTAGGTCAGTCCTACACTGCAACCAAGATGATGCCACCTCTGGGCTATGGAACCCACCGTGGCAGTGCCAGCCTACCTGGTCTTCAGCTATCAGTGGCTTCACCTCTACAGGGCGGGTTGGAGCCAGCTGCTCATGCAGGACTGGCAGACTCTCTTCCATCACAGGTTCCTTGTTCTTCTCCTTTTTAAATGCAATCTCTTTTCTGCAGCTAATTGAGGTGAAATAGCATGATGCAACGGAAGAAATACAATCGCTGGTGACAACGGTCAGTTTCATTGTAGTCAAAGAAACACAAACTAATACAACTAGGGGTAGCCACAATTCACCCATATGGTGGTTTGAAAGAAAATGGCCCCCAAAGGGAGTGGCACTATTAGGAGGTATGGCCTTGTTAGAGGAAGTGTGTCATGTGGGGACAGACTTTGAGGTCTCTTTTCTCAAGCTTCCCTCAGTGTGACTGCAGTCAACTTCCTGGTGCCAGCAAGAAGTAGGACACTTGGCTATTTCTCCATCACCATGTCTGCCTGCCTGCCTGCCACCATGTCCTACCATGATGGTAATGGACTGAGTCTCTGAAACTTTAAGTGAGCCACCTCAATTAAATGTTTCCTTTTATAAGAGTTGCCATGGTCATGGTGTCTCTTCACAGCAATAAAAACCCAAATGAAGACAACACATGTCTATGCACGCCAAAACAGCCTGCAGTTGGGCAGCAATCTGGTTCCCGGGACCATACCAGGCACCTATTCTCTCTGCAACTGTCTGATGAGCTCATGTGTAGTTTAATGAGCTTCTCAATCTTAATGTATGTGTAGCAGACCTGCCTCTGGAAGCCCTCCAAAAGGGTAAAACCACTTAGTGCTCAGGGTTTTTTCCTACAGAGCAACAAGGCAGCCCCTACACCAATGATGGTTCTTCTCCTTGCCACCTACCCCAGACCTGAGTCACCCACCTTACTACCGAGCAGTTCATTGGGAAGTGGGCCAGTGTATCACAGCACTCAACCTAGTCAGGCCAGATTCTCAGTCACGCAAGGATTCTTCCCTTCAGGGTATTTAAAACTTCCACCCCAAAGTTGTCACTTCACAGATCCCCAAAAGTCTTGCTCATCCAACTGCCCAGGACTCCCTGACTGCATGCACTTGGAACCGAGGCCTCTCTGTATCCCCAACCCTGATATCACCATTGGCACCAACCCTTCCTGTCAGTCTTGGTCATCTTTCTTCCTCCACAGGCCACCTGCAGTGCCTCCCACACTGCACAGCAGGTGCTCAAAGTGAAGCCAAGAACAAGAGGAGGCAGGAGCCCCTCTCAGGCTTGGCAACTGCATTTCTTAACCCCATCGGAGGGCAGGGAAGACTCAGCAAACACTCTCCCAGTCAGTCCAAGGATGCATAGATAAGTGACTGTGCTAACAGCATGAAAATGATTTCGTAGACAGATATTTGTTGCCAGAGGCTGAAAGTGAAAAATTGTATGCAGCAGAATTACATTTTCATAACTGATCTAGTGTGCAATGGCAAAACCCCAGAGGGAATTACTGCCAAGGGATGGGGCCTGCAGGGACGTTTATTCTCTTCCTTATCTGTTTTCTAAAATTTGCACAATGATCATATAATTTATATAGGGGGAGAGCCACATTGCAACAATTAACAACAATATGACTATGTATACATTCTTACGTATTCTTAGCATGTCTAAGTCTGAAAAGGATTGCTACAGAATCTGTAATTGGCTAATATAACTGTTGGACAACCCACTATCAGCCAACCACAAGTGCTCCAGAGTAACCCCAAAACCCAGAAACAAATATGTGCCTCACTCAGCGTCATAACTCCTGGCACCCCCTGGGAGGAGCCTAGGACTGGTGAAGGGCATCTTTCCCCTATCCTGTCCTGGAGACCCTCCTTCCCTTTTCCCTGCTGGGCACCCACAGTTCAGCAGTTCCCAAACCTGTCATGAAAACCATGAGGGAGACTCACACATTTCTCTATGCACTGCCCTCCCAGGTACTGTTTCTAGAAATTGCCCCCAGGACCTCCAGGCCCAGACTGAGGATCCAGAAGCCATAATGGGCTGGTACTGAGAGGAGCCACAGCCCAGGGCTAGGGTTTCCTCAGTGCCGTCCTTAACGGATTGTACGTCACTGGAAAGAGTAGCCCCGCACCCGGGAGCAAGTACTGCAAGTACCTGGCTTGCTCCATGTCCCCGATGTATGTCTGTCCAACCACCTCTTCGTGGTGAGTCGTCGCATTGTGCAACCTCAGGTCGGAACACACCTGCGCAAGTCTGAGGGGAAAGGGCAGGGAGGGAAGAGGTGCTGTCACATGGGATGCTTTCATCTCCAAAGGAAGTAGCACTGGATTTGGCATGCTTAATCAGAGCTGGGAAACTATGAAAAATGCACTTTGGTGTTTCAGCATTTTTCAGTAAACAAGCTAGGAGGTTCCTAGAAACGTCAGGGGAACATTTTCTCTGTCATTCACTCACATATTTTACTCACTATTTCTACATTTTGGGGCACCGTCAGAGGCTAACAGTCATGTGCCCAGATGGGCTCCGCCAAACCCTGCCGTAGCCACCAACAGGAAACTCAACTAAGGTTTTGCTTAAAGCACTTCATTTGGACACAGTCATGCAAACACAGTCCAGAATTATCTGTGTGCTCCTCCTCCCCAGAGTGTTACTGTGTTCTCTTTGCCAATGTCTCCTCCATTTTTCCTTCTAGACCCTTGGTAGGAAGCATTGTGTCCCTTGATCCTTAACTGTCACATCATGAGTGCCCTCAAAACAAGGTATTCTCTAAGGATCAGGTAAAGATTTACGATAAAGATACCGTTCCATTGTCTGGCAGTCTTGGGGATTTATTATTTACATAGTCAGCTACAGAATTAATATCTAAGGTGCTGTTGGTTGTATATTGTTTTGGACACACTGTCACTGTCACTCTCACCACTCCAGGTAAAGGAGAGATACCAACCGCAGGTGGTAGAGGTCTGCAAGGCTCTTGCTCTCCACCACGGCATCTGCAATGAGCACAGCCAGCTGCAGGATAGGGATGCTGAGCTCATGAAGGTGCATCTTTTGCAGGGCTTTGGCCAAATGGTCTATGTAGTACAAGCTGTATGTCTGCATAAACACATAGCAAACAGGTCACTAGTGGTCACTAGTTCCCTAAGGTGATGGTTAATACTGATTGTCAACTTGTCATGATTAGAATCACCTAGGAGGCAAGTCTGGGCATGCCTATGAGAGATTTTCTAGAGTAGATTAGAGACTCTGGGTTTCTTTTATGAAGGATTATCTTGATTAGGTTAATTGAGGTGAGGAAAGCCACACTAAATGTGGGCAGGGCCATTCCATGGACGGGGGTCCTGGGCTGCATAATGAGGAGAAAGCTAACTTAGTGTGACCATTCATTGCTCTTTGCCTCCTGAACGCTGATGGGTTGTGATGAGCTGCCTCAAGTTCCTGCTGTTGTGGTTTCCACACCAGCATAGACCCTCAAACTGTGAGCCTAAATAAATGCTTTCCCCTTTAAGGTGCTTTGCTATTTTGTTCATGGCAGCAAGAAAAGTTAGCCAATAACACCCAGCTTTGCCTGGCACAGTGCCGGCACTCAGCAAGTATTGGACAAGTTTGTGGGCTGCCCTCTTCCCTGTCTGTCATTACAGGTTTTGCTTTGTCATATACAATTCTGTGGTTGTCCACACCAGAGCATGGTTAAAGATCCACACGAGTGATACATCCATTAATTCATTAATTTTGTATTCCATTTCGTTTTTTTCGAATTAAAACTCATGATCCACCAAATGCAGAATCTCTTTGTGTGTGTATATAACTGGGTATATAGGAAAAAAAGAACTAGTGTCTACTATGATGTTAAGGGTTGTTATATGGGATGTCGGAGACATTAGATGAGATATTAAACACAATTTTATGGTTGCTGGATAGTGGACAGTGTAGAGAAAAGAACAGGGCTAAGATCTGGAGGAAGATGTGTGTCAGAGATGTGGGCTGGCCTGTGGGCACACTGTCCAGGACTAGTGTCAAGGCTGGGTGGTCTCTGACCCCTGTACACACAGAACATGTATGATAGACTAGATTCAAATTGGACCCGAGGCTGTGTAGGTGAAGACTATTTGTACCTTGGGGAGAATACTAGAGAATACTATCTCTGGCCTCACAAAAGGAAACAGTGTTTTTAAAAAAGGACAGAAGGAAACGCCCATCATAGAGGAAAAGATTCCTAATTTTCATAAGAGTAAAGTTTCCATTTCTCATTTCTACACAGAAGACCCCATCATGGGAGGAATGTGTACAAGGGCTGGCAGTGTCCCTCTCAGAAGAGGCCTGTGTGGTTTTTGTTTTTTGTTTTTTAGTTCCATAAGAAAAAAGAAAAATTGCTAAATTATAGTGATGTGCTGGACAGACACATCACAAAAGAGGAAGGGCTAGTACAGTCTGATAGGGCATCCAGCACTGATATAGCCATGAGAGATGCCATCACACGCACAATAGCACAGGCTGGCAAGGATGTGGGCATCAGGAGCTCCCCCACCACCAGGGACAGGGATGGAAGTCAGCACAGCATCCTTGGAATGCGATCTGATAATTGGTAATGTTCACCATCATTGGAAAGTTTCCCACACTGTGGCCCAGCAGTGTGGGCACCGGCATTCACAGATGCTTCTTTTGTAAGAATCGGGGAAATGGTGTCCATTAGCAGGTGAGCGGGCGTGCAAGCCAATGTCTGTTCACAGCATGGGTGAACCCCACCAAACTACTGACCAGGAGGAATGTGCCAAACAATTCCATTCCTGTGAAGCCCCAGCCAGGCAGAAGAAGGTGAGCTGGATTATGGACCCCAAGAACATGGAGTCCTAACACATGGAACTTCTGAGTGTGACTGCGTCAAAAGGTATTATGCTCTATGACCAGGGTGAGGCTCTGGCCACAGTTTAGCCCTGAATGTATAATCTTGGAGGTCTCTACAAGAGCTGGATTTGCTAGAGAGGAGAGATTGTGTGGCCTTGGTGGTGGAGATGTGGTAGGGTGAAGTATCCAGAGGGACAAAGTCCCTGCTGATACTGTGATTCTTGTGGTCACAGCTGCCTATTTTGTGGAGATATGACAGCAGGCAGAAGTGGTGCCAAGTCTAAGTATGTAGACCTGGGTATGGATGCAGCAGGACAGGGCTTCTCACAGATGTTGGCAGCTGTTTGAAAGAAAGAGTATGTAGACCGTAGCTTTGTAGGTGGAAAGCTACTCCCTTTTGACCCTTACTGTGAAGCCTCTGTCTCATGGGTCCCTCTTTGGAAGTATTTGCAGTAGAAATCCTAGCTGTGGCTTTAAGGGAGGGAGGTTGGCTTTGCCAGCCCTGTGGCATAGCCTGGGCTGGCTGCTCAGATCCACTCACCGGCTTCTGGAAACTTGATGCATTAATAGTAGAGTCACTCCTGTCTTGCTTGAACACAGACAACAGATCCTCAGAGCAAGAGTAGGAGGCCCACTCTTCTATGCTGGTGGGAATGTCATCAGGTGGCTTGTTGGGAACTGGGGTTGAAATCTGTGCGTGAGAGAAAGCATGGTTTACTGTACAATGTGGAGTCCGGAAACCGATGTTCCCTGTGGTACAATATGGAGAGGACAGGCTGCCAGCCTCTGGCACAGTGTTTGGAGGCTGTGGCCCAGGATGGGGATAGCATGTCTTACAGAAGGGGAAACTGAGGCATGGCACGATTGTAAGACCCCCCAATGTGAATCTGGTGGAGTCGGGGTTCAGATTCCATCACCATTACTCTCCACCTCCCGCTCCAGGGGAGGATGCACCATAGAGACCACTCACCTGTTTGATGTCTTTCATCTTCTCCTTCTCCTTCTCCTTCTCTTTCCCCCTTTCCTTCTCCTTTTTTGGCAGTAACAATTGGGAACTAACTACTTGTAAAGTTTTTTCTGGAATTAGTTTTCCTCCTGCTATCAAGGAAATCTGGGGGGAGGGGAGAAAATACAAATTGGAAGCATGAAAAGTAGAGCTTGTATCTCCCCTTTCTGCACCTGTCGGAGGCAGCTCTCAGATCTGAGGGTGCTGCTCAGCCACGGTTGAATCCAGGAGCCTCCACAGCACAGAGCAAGCCTGGTCAGTGACCCAGACCCACAGGTTTTTGTGTTGGATGGAGAGCAGAGTGGGGACGGGTTTGGGGAGCATCCTCCTCTAGGAGCCTCAAGAAGAGGAGTGTGGCAGGGCCTAGAGAGATGCTGATGTATCTTTCAACCCAGAGGAGGAGTAGATGGTGCAGGAAAAAAAAGGTGTGTGTGCTTCTCAAAGGCTTTTACAGAGTACCTGGGAAGGCTCTGACTTCTTTGAAACATAATATTATGATTTTCCAAAGAAAATGGTGTAATAAGCCCTTCAGAGTCTCCTCCCAGGGGTTGTAGGATGGTGTCGGTGGGGACCTTTGCTGTTTGGTGCAACATCTCCAGCCTGCCCTCACCTGCCAGATGTGCCTGAGGAAGCTGTAGGCCATGAAGCAGTCATCTTCATAGAGAGGGGAGGTTGGGGACACCATCAAGGCCCGAAGGATGTGCACACGGGCCAGGGCCTCCAACTGCCTCACACTTCGAAACTGGTCCAAGGAGATTGCCTCCAGATTCAAGGACACTGCACTCCCTGTGAGAGACTGGGGAGAGGAGGCCTGCCCTGCACAGCATGGTGGGGGGGAGTGAGTCTGGGGCCATGGACAGGCTTAGGCTCCTGCAGGCCCCCGGGTATCTCCTCTTCTGACTTGAGATGCTGACCCAGCCACCTGACTGTTCCAGGTGCCTAACTGTGTGCTGCTGCCTGCCCCAGACAGGAGTTTCTCCAGCAGGGATACCTTCTATGCAGCCTTTCCTGCGTCCCAGACTTTTCTCTCTGAGTCTGGGAGTCAAGGAGACCCACTTTCCTTTTCTGTGTCTCAGACTTCTGGAGTTAAGGAGACCCATTTTCTGGGAAGCAAAGGGCTGCTGGCCTTGGACTTTGTACCCGTGCAAAAGCCCAATTGGTGTCCTGACACCTTTATACCAGTCAAATAGGCCATAGACTGGCTGCTCTGTTTTGTTCCTAGCTAGTTTGACCTGCCCTATTCTGCTGTATGGATCAAATGCTGAGTGGACAGGCCTACAGCTATCCCTTCACACAAGTTCTGGAACTTTCCAACTTTGTATCATTTTCCGTTTTCCCACTCCTAACTGATGTAAGCCAAAAAGGAAGGTATGCCTGTACTAGAGGACATTGGTGGCCCAGCAACAGTCCACCTATGTCCTGCCATCCTGGGCCCAGCTAGGATTTACAGTGTGTGGGGTCAGCAGAAGCCAGCATGGTCACTCTCACCTTCCTTCTTGGGCTCTGGCTCCGGGGAGTCTTCCGTGGGCTTCATGGATAGCAGAATCTCCATTGCCCAGTCGAGGTGAGAGATCACATCTTGCAAAGGGAACTGCTTGTAATACATCCACTGACTGAACTCCACGATGTAATCCACCTTCTGCCAGTTGCTCTCTGGCTTCTTTGGGACAAGACAGAAAGGCATATGACACTTGTCAATGTGCCATTAATTAGCATGGGGAAGCCACCTATAGCAGAAAGACTTGATGGTTCATGTCACCCTAGAATTTACCATGGAGTCCCTCTCCCACTCCAGGAAGATGTGTTTTGCCACCAAGATTGCTCCAGATGTGTGGTAGGAAAACAAGGATTTGGTCAAGTCCCCCAGATCATCTGCACCTGTTTCAAGTGCGCCCTACCTGTCCCACTGGTCCCTGTATTTCCTAACACTTCTCCAAGTCTCCATTACAACACAGAAGATGCTGAGCAGGGCTCCCTGCCAAGCAGTCTGGCTAATCTGAAGCCTTGGATGGGTGGTTTTGGGGTTAGGTCCTCTATTGAGGGTCCCATACCTCCCTCCCCATGCATGCACAGCTTTTTCCTAAACTACCAACAGTTTCCATGGCTTGTTGTGGGCCTGTGGGAGGGGGTGTCAGAGAAACTCCAGCCCAAGGCGTAGCATGGCACATGCTTGGCCTATGATCACTGAGAACACGCAGGCCAGCCTCACAGAGCAGAGTCCCGTGCACAGCCCATAGCTTTAGTGTGCTGACCTGCTGCATGCCACCCTCCTTTCCAGGCCTCTCCCTTGACTCAGCCTCAAGGCATCACCCCCACACCACTTATCAGGACCTAGGTTCACGGCCCCCTCGCCTCTGTTGCTGACTCTGTAGCTTTCCTGAGTGCTTGCCTGCACTTTCTCGTTTGCTGTGAAATGAGCACCTGTGAAAGGCTAGTCTGTGCTCGCCCCTGCAAGGGGCTCAAACAAGAAAACCAAACACAAAGAAGTGTTGCAGGTCAGGTGGCGGTCTCAAGTGGGACGTAGCCATCTATACAGGGATGCTGTTGGCAGCAGGAACTGGCCTCAAGAGGAAGGGGGAAGAAAGCCCCTGGGAGGACAACGTGGGGGGCAGGTAGGGTGTGACCCCCAGGCAGGGTGCAGGGCCATCCAGTGGAACCCAAGATCCAATGGAGGAGAGAGCAGGCATCGTGTGGAGATAAGAGGGAGTCCAGAAATGCCATGGAAGCTGTGACTTAGACAAAGCTGTGCAAACATGGGAAGCATGGGTACCTCAGGAGAGGGGTTTAGGAGGGAAAGGACAATCCTCTTTTTTCCCATTTTTAATTGATTTAAATTAGAAACAAGCTTGCTTGACATGTCAATCCCAGCTCTCTCACCCTCTCCTCCTCTGCTGCCCCCCCACCAGCCCCCGAACCCCCACCCTATTCCCCCTCCGCTCCCCAGGAAAGGTGAGGCCCTCCATGGGGAATCTTCAAAGTCTGTCATATTATCCCGGGCAGGGCCCAGGCCCTCCCCCTGTGTCCAGGCTGAGACAGCATCCCTCCATGTGGAATGGGCTCCCAAAGTCCATTTGAACACCATGGCTAAATACTGGTCTACTATGCAAGGCCCCATAGATTACCGAGGCCTTCTCACTGACACCCAGGTTCAGGGAGTCTGGATCAGTTCTATTCTGGCTTAGTGGATAGAATGCTTATTGCGCAAATGTGAGGACCAGGGTTTGAGTGCCCAGACCCACATAAAATCTGGATGTGTCAGTGTGCATCTATAATACCGGTCCTCCTGCAGCAAGATGGGAGGCCAAGCCAGGAGAAAATCCAGGAGCTTGTGGGTCAGCTACCCTGGCCTAGTACACACAGTGGAGAACAGACCCTGCCTCAGACAAGGTACAAGGCAGGAGAAAGTCCAGGAGCTTGTGGGTCAGCTACCCTGGCCTAGTACACACAGTGGAGAACAGACCCTGCCTCAGACAAGGTACAAGGTGAGGACTCACACATGAGGCTGTCCTCTGACCTCCATGGGCATGCCATAGCCATGTGCATGCTCATGCTTGCACACATGAAAACACATACACATGTATATACACCATGCACATATTTTATACCAAGTACATTTAAATGATAAATAAGTAAAAACAAATTTCAAGGATGAGATTCAAGGTCACTGAAAACAGATATACCTACAGTGTCCATCTGAATGTGTTGAGCTCTCTGCCCTTCCTCTAGGCCAGCCTGGTGGCTTCTCCTTCTCAGGGAGCTGCCCATCCAGTTTCCTCATTGAGATGCCCACATACTGCCTGACCCTGAAACCCAGCAGTGAGACTTGAGGTGACCAGTTACTTGGGCTCCAGGAGCAAAGTACAGGGCTCCCTTTAACCACATGCATTAGTGTCAGGTCTCTGAAGCCACAGCCTGTGCCTTGAGGTGGACCTAGTTTTCTTGTTGAGAGCTGCCCTGGTCCATGGCACTCAGGACCTCATCATAGCAGGGTATGCTAATGGCCTGTGAAACTGACTAACCTCCCAAGGTGGTTTCTCACAGTTCAGACCTTTCTTTCCATTTAGAGGCCTGCGCTAGGGTCCCAGGGAGCCCCCATGTGGGTCTCATTCATGAGAACCAGTGTCATCAAATTAGAAGTCAGAGCACCCTCCCACTCAAGTGCTTGGAATGGGGACAACAAGACCTCCTTGCTCAGCAGTCCCAGGTTCCAGGAAGCCCAGGCATTTACCTCAGGGCTCTTCGGAATCTCTCCTTTTCAAGATGGGAGACTAAAGGGCAAATCAGCAGAAGGGAGTCTCTCCCCTAAGCCAGGGCTTGCTGCACAGTGGCTTCCTCTGAGCTGACCCAGTAAGTCCTTAATTCTGAAGCTTTTCATATGACTCTCTCCGTAACCAAGAGACAAATCTGCCTGCCATTGCCGACATGGACACCACACAGACCTGCAGTGCCTGGATAGCATTCTGATAACAGGTGAACTCTCCACAGATGTTCCTCGAGTTCTGGGCCAGACGGTACCACATGTGTGCCAAATAGTCTTCGCTCTCATCCTTGAACTTCTGAATTTCCATAGTAAAGTTCTGGCCAAGTTTGGCCTTCACAATGACCATGTGTTTGAAAATCAAGCTAAAGAATAGCAAAGGATGGTCAGCTGAGATAGCAAAACATGAAGCACATACATGACACACACAACTACAGCTGCCTGTGCTCTTGTTGGCAGGGAGGGGACCAGACAGGGACCTAGCTGGGGTTTTCGTGCTGGGGTATGCTAATGGGGAGGTGAAGTCCTTTAGTGGAAAGGAACCATGGGGAGACCCAGCCGAGGGGTGAAGAGAGCACTCTGGGGCTCAGGGTGAGGGCACTCACAGGCGGTGGGCTGTCCTTGGCAGCACTTGAACAGCCTCATCCAGCACCTTCAGGCCCATCTCCCAGTCATTCTGGTCAGCGTGGCTGTGGAAGAGCAGGCTATAGAGCGCAGCACGGAGTGTGAGGTCATCCTCAGACCCTGGGGTAAAGAAGAGATGGAGTCTCAAGGGGACTGGGTGGGCAGTTAGCTCCTTGCCAACTGACTTGATGCCCTCTGACCTCTTACTCCACACCCCTACTCCCTCACAACCCGTGTCACAGTCTTCCATTCATACGCAGGTATGCATCAGAAGACGAGAAGCTGCCCTGTAGGGCAGGTGGTAGGTCAGTGTGGCCCTCGCCTGCAGCGCCCCGCAGCTCAGGTACTCCTTTGTCTGAAGGAACCAGCTCCAAGTGGCCCCGCCGGTCTCCAAGGAATTGCTTCTAACTCTCAGGGAGTGTCTTGGTTGCCTAGCACATGGTCTGAGGGCCAGGGTGCCAGGTTTTCTGAGTCCCCATGACCTCTCTCTTCTCAGAAAGCCTGCTACTTTTCTTTCAATCTAAAGGTAAACAGCATGACTGGGAGGAAATGGAAACCCTTTCTTCCCTCTGTATGTTACATGCTCCCAGTCACATTTAGGGAAGGCTGCAGGCCTGGTCACCTAATTTGTCACACATCCCTAGGGCCAGCCCTGGACTGAGCGAAGGTGGGACAGGAGGATGCTTCCTCTGCTTTTGTCATGGTTCTCATGCTGAGTGTTCCAGCACAGGGGTGCTGGGGCAGGCATTGACCATGTCCTTGCTCTTGTCACTCGCTGGTTGAGGCACTGCCCAGGTTGGCGGCTTGGCTGGCTTTCCCCTAACTCAAGGTGGACTGGAAAAACTGGCTAACCTTGGGCACTTGGGGACTTCATAGTTCCTTTACCTGCTGAGTTCGTTCTCTGAACCTGCCAGCCACACTGGAATGGAAGGGATGTTTATGTGCATGCTCTTTTTTTTTCATTCTTGAGACAGGGTTTCTTTGTAGCCTTGGAGCCTGTCCTGGAACTCACTCTGTAGACCAGGCTAGCTTTGAACTCACACAGATCTGCCTGCCTCTGCCTCCCGAGTGCTGGGACTCAAGGTGTGCACCACCACTGCCTGGCTGGCGCATGCTCATTCTTAATCCTACGTAGCAGCCCAGACTCCACTTTTGGTTCTTGGTTCCTTATTGAAGCATACCACGTACACACCTGATGCTTTACCAGTCAATGGGAAAGACACTTAGAGCAGAGAACCTGCTTGTCAAACCTCCCAGCCATCCAGCGGCAGGGACAGGGGACTTCCTATCAGTATTGTCCTTACATGGAAGCTCAGTTTCAAGCCTCAGGATGCACACTGGGGAAAAGAAGGAAGGTTTGGAAGAGCTGAGCCCTGAGCCAGAGCACCATGCTCATCTGACACGAGTAATTGATGGGTCTTTGACCTCCCACAGCTGCCACATTGAGAATGAGGATTTCCCACATTGTTATTCCTTAATTTTTGCCTTTCTTATTAGTTGTAAAAGTTTGTGTGTTTTTTTTTTTTTTGTCTGTTTGAAAGTGTGCCTCTTTCTACAGAATTGTCTGATTCTACCTTCTGATGCTTTTCATCTGGAGCAGAAAGTGGTTTTGTTGTTGTTTGTGTGTTTGAAAGTTTTACTATGTAGCTCTGGCTGACCTAGAACTCGCTGTATAAACTAGGATGGCCTCGAACTCACAGCAATTTGCCTGCTTCTCCCTCTCAAGTGCTGAGATTAAAGGTGTGCACCACCTCTGCCCAGCAGCAGAGAATCTTATCATGAGAAGAAAATGTATTCTTTTCAAAAACTTGAGAAGGAACTGAACAGAGCTCTGCTGGGCTGTGGTCAGAGTGTTTCCTCGTTTTTCTGAGGAGCGCATCTCCAAATGTTTTATGGTTGAAAATATGGTTAAGATGACATGAAACTGGGCACATATCTTTAATCCCAGCACTCGGGAGGCAGAGGCAGGCAGATCTCTAAGAGTTTGAGGTCAGCCTGGGCCACAGAGTGAGTTCCAGGACAGCCAGGAAACCCCTGTCTTGAAAAACCAAAAAAAAAAAAAAAAAAAAAAAAAAAAAAGAGGAGGAAGTGGAGGAGGGGCCGAGGAGGAGGAGGAGGAAGAGAGGACTCATCTAGCACAGTGAAGGGCTCTTCACTTTGGTAGGATGGAGGGCACTGAGTGTTCTTTCTGCAGAATGGGCTTCCATAGGATCTTAAAGAAAAACATCGAGTCAGAAGCAAATGAACTTGTAGGCACAGTCGTGGTTGTGGTGCCTCATGTAAGGACACAGGATGCACAACATGGAATGTTCAAACTTCTAGAAGTCTCCCTTTGCCACTGGCCCCACAGTTACCAACCTGGAAGGAATTGGCCTTCAGGTGCTGTCCCTCCACCCTGGAAGTCAGCTGTTGGCCACTGGTGCAGAAGCAGGGTTTTTTCTGTCTCCTTAAGTGAAACGAACGGCACATTTGGAGGGGACTGCTGTGTTCCTCCATCTTGTTCCTCATTAGCATCAGTAAAAAAACGAACAAAAACCAGAAATTTCAGAACCATCAAGTCACAAAATGTTATAAGTATATACGCCATACATGCTGCATGTACACAATACCACATGTGCACAACACAGTGTGCTGTATTATACATGTACCATATCATACCTGACCATACCATGCAATACTAGACATACAAAAACCTTCCATACCATTCATACATAATGTCACAGCACACCACACCATACCACACACTCTCACGCTATATACAAGACACTACATTGTGTACACACCCTACTACACACATTCCATGCACACCATAGTACATAGCTGGTCTTTCACTTGTTTGGTTAGAGTTATTTTATGTTATTTGTAGCTATTGTAAAGGGTGATGTTTCTCTGATTTCTTTCTCAGCCTGTTTATCATTTGTATATAGGAGGGTTACTGATTTTTTTTAGTTAATCCCATACCATAGTACAATACTACATAACCATACACATATGGTATCACACACAATTATCATACCACACATACCAAATTATAAGCAACACACTGCACACACTCATACACATATATGCATATATGTGTATACTATACCCAACACATACCATACCATATATAATACATCAAACATTATGCCATACATACACTCTACCATACCACCCACACTTCATACAATACATACCTCATACCATACAACATATACCATCCACATACTAAATCACAGCACAATACACACATAACATATCCCACATTATATACACATGTACAGCACACAGACTACTTCCTCAATATAATATAGTTGTTTTCAATGATGTGAAACATGTTAAATCAGTGGAATAAAGAATTAGAAAAAAAACTTCTGGGACATAGTGAAAGCAATGCTCAGAGACAAACGAACAGTTGTGACTATTCCTGTCAATACAGAAGATCTCAAATCAATACTTTGCCTTTAATTCTCCAGATAACAGAAAAAGAATAAACAAAACAAAACCAGAAATGGAAGAGAATAGAGGAAATCCTCCATTTCAAATTTGCTTGAAACAAAGAGGGAATGGGAGAGAATTCTGGGCCAGGGGGACAGGAGGTCAGAGGCCACCACTGAGGCCGGTTAAGAACCTCCTACCTCCCTGGGATCTGGAGAGTGTTGTGCTATCCAGCAGGAGAAGTTGTGAAGGAGCTAACTGGTAGAGATCATGTCTAAATGTGGGTCATGTGTTGTTGGGAGTCATAGTCTATGGGAGCCATGCCCCATGGGGGCTGTGTCCAGTGAAAGTCATATCCCACAGGGGCCATGTCTTAATCAAGGCATAACCTGAGGCAGTCATACCCAGTGGGAGCCATGCTGAGGCTTTTTCTGTGAATCTGGTCAGGCCTGAGGGTAAGGCCTCCTAGGACCCTAGCCCGTGTCCCTATAACACCTGTTTCTTGGACTCTGTCTTGTTGATGATGCTGATGATTCGCTGGAGGGATCCCTTGGCCTTCTTCCTGTTGGCCGGTGAGGACAGAAGTGGGAGCCATGTGTTCCAGTAGTGCCGGGCGGCCATCATCACCAGGGAACTGCTGCCTGCCAGGCCCCCAAACCTGAAAGGACATGCCTCATCCAGTTATGTAGGCTGCTCAGGTTACTCAGTCACACCTTTCCCCTGGCACAGTCAATCCAGAAGTTTCTAGACTTGGTAGGGAAGGAGTAGAATCAGGATGGTACAGCTTTGGCACTTTGTGGCAGGCACCATGGAAGGGCAAACCTGCCATACCTTCTCCTTAGCAAGTGGTTTGGGCCAGGTGCTGCCCACATCACAGGGCAATGATGGACTCTCTTGGTCTGACCCTTGCTGTGTCTATCTGTCCCTTGCTACTTAGGCCCCTGTATGCTTAGGGATCCTTCAGACAGCCTTGGCAAACCACTTAGCTTAAGCTCAAGCTCTGTTGAGCTTCTTCCATTACTGCCCATGGATACCCTGGTGTCTGTGAGCTCGGCTGCATGAAAGGATATAGTTGGAGGTTTACTGGCACTACCCAGTTCCTTCCCTGGGACTCAGGAATATCCCCATAGCATCACTGTGGTTCTGTACCAGTTTCCCCACACACATTGCCAGACCATTCCCCAGTTACACACCTGGCACTCTCTACAAAGACCTTGGCTGCTGCTAGCCGTAGCTGCTTCCTACCCTTCAAGTTTTCCATGATGCTCCTGCCCTGGATGCAGGACGCAGTACACAGCATTTCCGCCGCCAGCTTGGCATCGGTCCTGGAGAGGGCACAGAGCGATTGAGAGGAGGTGGGGAGTAATGCTGCCCTTTCACCCATGGCCCTGCAAGTGCAGCCAAAGATGAAGGTGCATTTCTACCTCCACCTGGGCCTTAGGGACTCACCCAACTGAGAGACGAGGACAAGTGACTCTGCCTTCTGAGGCATTCCTTGATAGTGAGCCGAGATGCCTACATCTGGCATGGGTGTCTTGAGCGCTCATTGAGGGAATGGTCTCTCGGTGCTTGCATTCACAGAGATACTACACATCAAGGCCCATGGCAGTTAGTTCCTGGAGATGCCCACCCACAGAGAACTTCTGGGGATGTGGGAATCAGCTGTATGGGTGCCTGGCTGATGAGCTCTCTAGTACCCTTATAAGAGACCCCAAACCAGAACTAATTGGCAGAGTCCAACGAACCCACGGAACCATGAGACAGACTCCTTAACTGACTTTTAACCACTTGTTTGGGGGGTGGCTTTCAGCATCAGTGAGACAGTACAACTATCTGTTGGGTCTGTCCTCAGCTCGGCTCTGCTTCCTGGGCAGAATGTCTTGTCCCAGGCATTCTGTACTCTTTTCTCAGAGGGGGCACATAGGCCTGCAGTACCATATCAGTGCTCCACAGACACTCTCCCGGTTCCCAAACCGGTGCAGCAGTGAGTGGTCTGAGCACTGCAGAGTGGGGGTGGGGTGGGGTGGGGTAGGGTGGGAGGTGAGAGCATGTTCCGGCTACTCGGCTCCGCAGCCCAGATTTTTATCCTGTGAATGATGTACTTGTTCTGAGAACATTTCCTTTGGATCCTGGGGCCCTAGAAGATGGGCACCTGCTTGCTGGAACAAAGAGTCGCATATGTTCCAAGGAGCCCGTGGAGGGGAGGTGCATCTGACCCTTTGCCTGCAAGGACCTGTTGTACAGTGGGAACTTGTGTTTGGAGGTAACCGAGGCTGGGTGGTAATGAAACCTCCCTTCAGAGGTGGTAGGATGGTGTAAAGAAGGTTGTGACCCTAGCCTGGGGAGCCACAGTTGGAAATTTTGACCATTGCAGCCTTCAGGGTGCAATGACAGCAGTCACCAGGAGGGGACAACAGCGATCTACTAAAGATCTTCAGAAGGCCTAGTGAGGCACTCAGCATGGCCGCCTCCAGGTTTCCTGTTGCCTGTACACATGGGCGTCTTTGCTTTATGTATCACGGGAATTTCCTTTATAAATTAGATTTGACTTAGTATCACTGATGGAAGGGTGTGTTATCCTTGCCGAGTGCTGTGCCTGGCTCTCTTCCTGTGCCCAAGCAGGTCGTGGCTGTGTACGGTAGCACAAACAGCACACAACAACCCTTTCTGCAGAGATGCCCAATTTGCTTATTTCTTCTAAGGATAATGTTTGAGTGATGAAGTGGATTTTGCACATGGTTGAATATGACCACCTCTGCCAGCACCCCACAGGGTGAGACTTCTTACTGTTCTTTGCCTCATGCATGCTCCTGGCACTACCCTGGGGCCTTGTCAATCTTTCCTGCAGGGCCTATGGCAAGTGGACTTCAGCTCCTCTGCCCTCCCACTGCCCCTTCCAATTCACTGTTAGATCTAAGTAAGAGCGAGACGAGTGTGGGTGAGATGGGTTAGTGGCAAAGGCCCTGCCCACTAAGGTCAGGCACCCAAAGACACTGCATTAGTCACTTTTCTCATGACTGTAATCAGATTCCTGGTAAGAATAATTTAAGGAGGGAAGGGGTTATTTTGGTTCACATTTGAGGGAATATAGTCCATCATGGTGTGTGGCGATGCAATCTTATGAACATATCTCTCCCATTCTAAGAGACTGGACCTTTTGCTGGACCTCACAGGCAGCCTTAACCACTGTGAGGTCACTTAAGATTTAAGACTGCTGTCCTACTGTGTGCTCAGACTTTTTCTTTAATCTGACTTTATCAATCAACCTTACTTGCCTTGAGTTTACATGATGTCAACTTTTCCAAGCTAAACTCATGCATAGCATTAATCTTGAGTTATATACACTTCCTTGTCCCTGACTCAGACAATGCTTGTGTATCATTTGCTAAAAGCAACAAACACAGAGGTTAAAAACCACACCCTAAAACCTAAAATGAAGGTTGAAAGCCACCATTTGTGGATATTGGCTGATAAACAATGATGTCTGTTGTCTGGGCCATTTGGAACCAGAGACCTGATCCCTCATAAAACTCTGTTAAAGATTTCTATAAAGCACCCTATTCCTTCTCCAGGTACTGTTCAGAAAAGCCAGAGGGAAGTCCTTTGTTAGACACACACAGACAGAACAGCCCAGACACTGGGAGACAGACACAGGCTTCAGAGGACAGGCACAGATTCAGACTCAAGCACCAGACAGACAGAGGACAGAAGACACAGGGAGCAGAGAGTTCCAATCTGAACTGGCTCTTAGTTAAATGACTTCAAGGGGAGGTACTTTTCATTCTTCCTTTAATGTGAGCCTGATGTCTCGGAGCTCGCCACTAATGCACACGACGGGTGTGATGGTGGAGAGGCAACTGGCCACGTGGATCTGACCCACAATCAGAAGGCAGGGAGAGATGAATACTGGTGCCTTCCTGGCTTCCTCCTGTCCCTCTCTGTAATACCATCTATGTCCCCAGCCCATGGGATGGTGCCACCTGCATTCAGGATGAGTCTTCTTCTCCAGTTAAATCTCTTTGAAAACAACCTCAAGGACAACCCCAGAGGTCTGTCTCACTATCGTTCTAGGTACTTCTTAATACAATCAAGCTGGCAATTGAAGCAAATTAACCACTACAAGCCTACCTATTGTCAACTTGACACCCAAACACTTCGCTTTAAGCCATGACATCCTACCTCTGAACTGAAGTTTCAAAGGAAAAAAGAAGTGTTACAGAGGCTATAGGACTGACTGGTTAGAGCATCATGATTGCGGAGACCTGGGATGCTGCAGATCCAAAGTCAACATCATCCTGGGCTGTCGTTAGTCCTCACAACAGCCATTCATTTGTCTTCTTGGTATTTGACTGAACACGTTCCTAACTAGAGGTAAACCCTTGCAATGTATCAATATAAAGATCCTGGATTATTCTTCCAAGTCAAAAGTGGTGGATGTGACCAGAGAGCAGAGTTCTCTGCTTTGCTGCCCTCCTGCTGGCCCCACCAGTGTGTTGAGAAATACACTGATTTAGGATTTTCTTTTGTTCTGTGACTAACAAAATGCAACTGCTTTCAAGGAGGAACATAGCGTTCATAGCAATCTGATCTGAAGTCCTGTTTCCAGGCCATGGTCTCTCACATGTGGCTCAGAATGAAGCTATCTCCTATTCCCCGTGTGTTTGCACATCACTGGTCTTCCAGTCCCATGGTTATCTCATAATGGAAAAATGAAGCTGTTCTAACTTCTAAAGTCCTCATGGTTTTAACCAGTTCAATCCTTCAAAAGACCCAAATCTCTTCGGAGACTCAGCAGTCTCTCACTTATGAGACCCTATAAAAACAGCTTAAAAGTTACAAACTTCAATATACAATGCCAAAGAAATACAGACTCAGCAGGGCTAACACCAAACCCAGCAGCTCACATGCAACATTTGGAATTATCATCATAATGATATGGGCTCAGCAGCACCAAGGGGCCCAAACCTCCAGTTCTGCCACTTGCAATACAGGGAGCTTCTCTCTTGGACCAGTGCCTACAGCGTCCCTCAGTGGGTTTCTGTGGTCCTGGCTTCTCTAACACCCTGGGGCCCCTACTGATGCTTAAGCAACACCTTCACATTTCACAGATGGTTTCTTAAGATATCCCTTCAGGAGACATGATTCTGTCACACATTATCTGGTCCTAACGACTTTCTAGAACCTGGGTGAAAGCCTCTGTAAATCTCTCATTCTTGCATTTTGCCTGTCTACAAAACCAGCATGCTGTGGACACTGCCAAGTTCTGATGTTAGCCTGAGATGTAGTTAGGTCCCCTCCTACCACAGCTGTGGTGGTCTCTGTACCCTGGCTGAATCTGGGAAAAGATTTGCCTAGACAGTTGTTTTTGAGCAGAGGAGACTTTGTGTGTCCTTTCCTATCTTTCAAATGAATTTGCATTTCCAGAGGCACCTTTCCTGTGATCTCAGTGCAGAGCTTTAGGTTTCTCTCCAATGGCACCAATCTCATTAAGAACATGTGGCTTTGCTAAGACCGCCATAACTGCACAAGTTCAGAATCTGCCACCTCTCCTTTCCTCACCAAACTGCACACTTTTCTTACCTTGTGGCTCCTTCTCGCTGTAGATCTAAGAACAGCAGCCAGTCACCATGCCACAGCTTGGTTGCTGTGCTATCATGAATTTTCCATTGCTTTTGAATTCAGCCTTACTAAAGTGGTCAGGACACAGGAAGAAAGCAGCCAGATTCTCTGCCAGAATAGGACAAGAATGTGGCCCAGTCCCTGACAGAGCTTTTCTTCCTCTCAAAAACCTCACAAGCCGGGGCTCCCCCTCTTATCCCTCTCAGCATTCTGTTCTTGCACACTCTGACCAAAATGGTCCATTAAGTTTTGCTTATAGCATTTCTAGGAATTGTCAGCCCTACAGCTACTATCTCTTCCACACTCCTACAAACAGTTCTGAAGGCCCATGAACCACATGGTCACGTTTGTCATAGGAACAGTGCCCTATTCCTCAGTGTCAACACTCTGTCCTCGCCCCCACATGTGCAGGAGTGTCTGGACATGTAAATGCTTCAGTTACAGACATTGCAGGTCATGGGGTTCTGCTGACTCTCAACTCTCAGCAGCTGTATGAACATAGCCGTGGAGCTGTCACTGTGAGCAAGACACATGCTTGGCAGCTCATGTGTTTGCACTGGTTCCTAGCTGTAGGCACTGTTGTGGAAGGTTGTAGAACCTTTGGGGGGGACACTTCCTCGGTAGGGGAAGCCAGTCATGCAGGACAGGCCATGAGGCTTTTGTGGCCTGGCCTTACTCCCTGTCTGCTCCCTGCTTCCCGTTCTGCCAAACAAAACATGTGGTGAGGGATCCCAGCTGCACACTTCAGCTGCTTTCTGGCAGCCTGCTGCCATTCCTTCCCTTCATAACAGACTGTACCTTGAAACCAAAACCCAAAGTAACCCTTTCCTCCCTTGGATTGCTTTTCATCAGTCCAGGGCAGTGAGAAAAGCAGCTAATACACTTGGTGACTGGCAACTCCAGCAGTTGCCATGGGAGACCTGAGAGAGAACCTGTCTCCCATCTAACAAGCCAGGAGATGGCCTGTCCAGGGTCGTTGCTATTATATCTCAGTGTCATGCATCTTGTCTCTCCAAAACTAACTTGGGCAAAGCTGTCTGCACCATGATTGGAACATGGCTGATCTGAGAACTACTATGTTCCCTAAAGTCACATACTGAAATATTCCCCGGGTGACGGCAGTAGTAGAAGGGCTGTTGGGTGATGAAGGCAGTGATGGGTAGGCTTGGAGCCTCAGGATGGAATCCTGTCCCATAAAGGAATATAAAGGCACTTCTTTCTCCTTCCCCAAGGGAAGTGGCCATGACATTCACTAGACACCAACTATCATGTCCTGAACTTGAACATCCAGGATCTATGCCATGAACAACAAAATCCCATTTAGTGGGCTTTCCCGACTGGTATTTTATCACAGCAGACTTACCACAGAGAACCATCTGCTCTTATCTGTCATACACAGATAGCTGCTACACAGACCTCCTCACCGAGGCCTGTGTGTCTCGAGCCGCTGTTAACACACAGCTTCATGACTCTGTTCACTGTGCTGTCCTGTAGCGCGCACAGACAAGCAGACAAAGGCTCATGGCAGCCAGATTCCTGCCAGCTATCCCTTGCTCAGTAGGGCTGCCCCTCCGACCCCTGCTCTGTGGCATGGGGCACACTTCACACTCTGCTTATGTTACTGTATGCTCTAGGACACCATTGTGGAGGTCACTTACGTGTCAAATGACCTCAGGTGCTTGAGGCCCATCTGCGTGGCATTCTGAGAGCATGCCATGGTGATCTCATGGTCGTGGGCCACGTAGGCGAAGTGGGCGAGGCGTGTCAGGATCTGCAGCTCCACCAGGGGTTCTGACCAGCTGCACTCAGAGGCCATTCTCACCACCTTCCCAGCATGTGACGCAGGGGACAAGGACACCACATTAGTACCAGTTACTTTCTAGTAGTCTGCAGCCCTCAACAATGACCACACACGTCTTCATGGATTACTAAGCATATGGAGTTCTAGACAGACCACCTATTTGTGAAGCCACTGATCTCAGCATCTCCACCCTTGTGATTTTCCCGCCACACAAGGCATGCCTGGCCTTTATATACCTCTGCCTGTGCTGAGGTTTCGGGATGAAGTAGGACACAGACAGGCCACATGGCATCTTCCTCACACTGGCATAAAGGACTGTTCCATACAAAAGCCAGGCATGTGCACTTTGAGACAAGACAGTGAGTTGTCAGGAGGCAGAGGGAACTGTAGTGTGGATGTGGGTTTGAACTCTGACTGCCCTGGGCAGGACCCGAGGCCTTGGCTTCCTCATCTTTCCTGGATAGGGTCTGTTGACTTACCGCTTGGGATACCTGGGAAAACCCACCTGGGCTAGAGAAGGAACAGTGAAGTCCATGAGGCCCAATCCATTGCATGAGTACATCTCAATGGCAACAAGGACTCTGGTTATAGAGCTGATGTTCTCATTGGTACTCTGGAGGGATAGAAGGGCTAGAGTGTCCAGTTGCCCAGGAAACAGGGAAGGAAAGCTGTGGAAAACTGAACCATTTTTTGAGATAATCCTGTGTAGCATTAGTCTCAAGGGAGAGCCAGACCCCAGTATTTGGAATGTTACTATCTTAGACTATTTTGGTAAGAATCAACCTCTCCACTATCTTCTTAGGCAACAAGGTTGAAGTCTGTATATTCCTGAGCCTTGAAGGCAGTGTGTCTGGCCACTAAGGAGGGCTTTCTAGAGGGAAAATGCTGCTGAGCCCTGGTAAGGAGGCTGCTGGTATGGGAATGTCACATTAACCCCTTCTGTTTGGCCCAGTATAAATGTCCCTCCTGGGCCCTCCCCTGCTCCCTCCCCCCAGCTCCTCACAGTGATTTACTTGCTACAAGGTCAGGGTCATGGTGGTAGTTCTTGAGTTCATATTCCCTTCTCCTTCCCAGACCCTGTTCCCATAGGTGTTGTGTTGGGGGTGCGCTGGTGCCTGTCAATATGATGACTCTGTCAATGAGTGGCAGCGAGGGGGGGCAGCACCCCAGTGACCCAGAACTCAGACCTGGTGGAGACGTTTTGCCTTGGCTCCCAAGAGTGGCAGCTATGTGATGGTAGAGAGCAGCCTCAGACCTTACTAGGTGGAAAGATCCCCTTGCCAACGACTGTGACTACGCTTCGGACCATATGATGAGAACACCGGGAAGGGCAGTCTGTGGGTCCTAACCCCCTAGGGTGTCCTCAGCATCCACCTGTTCATCAGTGCCCAGTCGCTGCCCAATCTGCTGCTGCAGTAGCTGCTTGGTCTTCACCCAGGTGGCGATGAGATGTTGTCGCACACTGGTGGGGACAATGTCATCTGGCACGTTCCCGTTGGTAAGGTTCAGTGCGAACTCACAGACCTAAAACAAGCGAGTCTTCATCACAAGGCAGACACAAGAGGGGTCCTTGAGCCATCCTCCCTTTGGCCTTCCCCCATGGCCCACCCCTGGGCTGCAGGGTGGAGTACCTCCAAGGCTGCTCTAATCTCAGGTGAGGCAAAGGACTCCACTGGAACATGAACCAAGTTGGGGCGCACATTCTTTTTCAACTTTTCAGGTGTCTGGGTGGGAATAGAGCTGATGATCAGGCCCCGAGCAAGGGCATCACAGAGCATGACCAGCATGACAGAGTCCCTGGAGGGTGTGACATGAGAGCTTCTGTCAGTCAGGGCAGGACACGGCTTAGCCCCACGTAGAAGCTCACAGCACCACACCAGCAACTTCGGCCTCCCAGTCAAGATGAGAGGATGGTTGTAGTTTAACACAGACCATGGGCGAGGGCCACTGAGCATTAGCTTGCTTCTCCTTCCTCCCTCCCTTTCTTTTTTGCTTTCCTTCTTGACAGGTTCTCACTATGTTGCTCTGGCCGGCCTGGAACTCAGTTTATAGACCAGGCTGGCCTCAAACCCAGCCTAACGTGATGCCTTCAGACTTGTAATTTCTGCTGGGGAAACATCAATCTAAGGTCTCATTAGTCTGCATAAGAAACACACAGTCATGGAATTCCCACCCTCTCCCCAGCCCCAGCCCAAGGTGGGATAACCACTGAGCCGCTTCACAGAGTGCAAGTGCGTGGGCCTCAGCTGACCTCTGCAATGGCTTGGAGCAGAGCCACCAGAGGGCAGAGAAGCAGCTGAGTACTCTGGGCCATGGAGACCATGCCTTCTCCACGCATAGGCCTTACACATGCCTACTAGTCTCTCAACTCATTGTCCCCACAACAGTCATGCCTGACCCCACAGCTCTGACCCCTAAACATAAGCAGGTGTGGTGTCCACACCTACCCTTTGTAGCCAGTGACCTTGAGGGTGTTCAGGAGGTGACACAGGGAATCCACCAGCTCTTTCTGCCTCCCAGCCAAGATGAGGTGGCGGTTGTGGTTCAGAACATAGACCACAGCATTTTGCACGATCCAGGGCTCCCCTAACTCCTGCCCAATCTCTGCAGCACGCAACCAGTTGCTCATTGCATACTGTGACAGGCTTTCTATCCAGGTTCTGAAACAACACATGGTGCATGCAGCAGTTAGCTCAGCATCCCGCCTCCACCTTCCCCATCCCACACACCACTGTGAGCCTGGGCTATCTGAGTCATCCCCATTCGGGTCTGGGGGCATTTCTAGCTGTCTGCATAGGCCAGGGATCCAGGCTCTAGAGAGACTCTCTTGGTGCTGCTCCCATCGTGCAACTGTCCCAAATGTCCCTGATTACATCTGGTCCTTCCTAGCCCTTGCCATGCCCTCTAGACATGCCAATCTGTTCTTCCTTCCTACCCAGATACCTCTCCTCCCATGCTGTGAGTCTTACAGGCCCTGCTAAGAGCTCCCTGGTTTGAGGAGTGCTGGCCCAAGGCCTCTTCCAGGCTGCCTTCTCTCACCTCTTTGGCTGCCTGCACCCCCTAGCTCCAAGAAGCTCTATAGCTGTGCCTGCCCCCAGCACACGTGGCCTGCTGGGTGGTACCTAGATCAAGCAATGTAGCCACTCATCACAGTGCAAGTAACTCACTCCCTCAGCCCAGACGGGAACCTTTTTCCCATCAGGGCCAAGTCGGTATTTTAGTAAGTCTCTAAGGTCTCTATATCATGCTTCTTCTGTTTGGTTTTACAATTGTTTGATTAGTCCAAGCCACTCTTAGCCACTGCTTACAAACAGCCTAGGCTCTAATTATGCATATCCTGCTTTATCCACTATGGGGTCTGGGCAAATGAAACAGTTCTTCAATCCTTGGTCCAGAGCAGTGGTCCTCAACCTTCCTAATGCTATGATCCTTTAATATATGCTGTGATGACCGCATACTATAAAATTATTCCATTATTACTTCGCAATAATTTTGCTGCCATTGTAAAGTGTAGTGTAAATATCTGATATGCTGGATATCTGATTGTGACCCCCCCCAAAGGGGTCATGACCCACAGATTGACAACCGCTGGTCTACAGGGTGGCTGGGACTCCCACCCACCTGTATGTGATCCACTCTGGATTGCTATCTGGTGGCTCAGGCACATATCCAGCTGGGTGTTGGCTCAAGTCCTCAGGGGGGATGGCCTGGTCATTCAGGTCCACACCTTCCAAGCGCAGCAAGTGGACAGTGGCCTGTGAGGGAGCATACAGTCATAGAAGTCACAGCTAAGCAGACTACAGCACTGGGGAAACGTGGAGAAAATCCTGCTTTTGAAAAAGCCAAACACAAATGTTGAGTGCACGATGGACCTGCATAACCCACCTGCCTCAACAGCTGCCAATCCGCGCATCCCAAGAAGAGGAGGGCGTCTTTCAGAAGCACGGCCCACACCCACCATCACACCTGTTCTACCACAGCAGCTGGCTGACTGTTCATCTCCCTGAAGCCTCCCAGACTTCGTCCGAAGCCTCAAAGGCTGCAAAGCCCATCTGGCAGGTAGGTGGAGTGAGTGGGAGGACATGGGTCAGGCCAGCCCCGAGCTGGCAGTCGGGTTAGTCAGTCTCAGCTACTGGTCTCCTTGCAGGTCAACTCTCAGCACTGCCGTTTGGCAGTTTGCTTCCTGAGCACAGGGTTTGTCTTTGGTCACACTGTGTCACTAGACTCTGATGGAATAAACCAGTGGGTGCTCCCAGCCTCTGCTTTGTTCCCACTGAGCGAAGCCAAAGGAAATGCTATATAATTGTGAGAGTAAAACGGATGGCCAAGGTTGCCTCTGACTTGGCAAAGGTGTGGGGGCTTTGGGTTCTGCTAGGTCACAACACATGCCGTCCAGCACTGGCTCTCAGTACCCTGTCAGTAGTAAAGGAGCAGGCCTATTGGTTTTGGGGAACCAAGATCTAGCCCAGGTCTCCGCTGAGCCCACAGAGTTCTACAGCAGAGATCACAGCTCCTTCAAGAGCTTCCTGAGTCAACTCCAATCCCCGAACATAACTTCACACCCAGAATTCAGAAATGATTTCCCAAAGATAATTCAGACCAATGCACACCGCACTGCAGCTCCATTCACACTTTTCTCACGCAATCCTCGGAGAACTGAATTCATTTCCTCTCTCTAACATACTGTTAGGGATGTGCGCGCCAAGGGGAGCCCGCATGACAAATGTCTCTGGTGTGTTAATGGCCACCTCAACACTGGCAGCTACAATGGCCAAGACCTTCATGACGCACCTCAGCACTGAGGAATGCCACCTCCGCGATCTTCCTCAACAGGTCAGGGGACATATGCCTCTGCAGGATCACCTCAGTTGGCCCCCATTCATGCGCCAAGCTCTCTATACCTTTCTTTTTCTTCCCTGGGGGAAGAGCATTAGGGAAAGATAGGTTCCTTTTGAACAAGTCAGAACAAGTCAAACCGCAGCAGTGTCTCCCCCAGTGACCTGCTGCCCAAGCCTCTGCCCAGCTCTTTGTGGGACGAACCCTTCAAGAGGGACAGCATGGGTTGCTCTAACCATGTATCTCTCGTGGCTACTATTGGTCAGTTTTAAGCACAGCTGCTACTCAGTGTTGCTGGGACACTCCCAGGGGTACTGAGGCACAGTCCCTTTTATAAAATGGTTTCATTTTATATAACAGCCCTCCTTTGAACTATGAATCATCTGTAGTTGACTGACATTAGCTTCAATGTACACTCTGTGTGGACCACAGTTAAAGGGCAATGTTCAGGAATAATGGCCAGGAGGCAGGCAGTGTATGCTCAGCATAGATGCTTGTTTTTGTTGCAAATACTTTCAAACCTTTGCGATTTGACATTGTGTATACAAAGTCTACAGATACAGAGGCCAGACCAAATATGTACTCAGAAATGTTGCTATCTGTGCAAAGGCCCTTCTAAACAAACACATGATCAGCACCCATGGGGGGTGTCCCCTGGCTCTGTGTTACACATCCTTTGCCTGGTGTCCCATAGTGGGATCTACTGGTTCAGAGGTGCTGTGGCTGCCACAGCCACCAGAGGTCCATGAAGCCCTAAAGCCCAGCCTACCCACATGCCAAGGGGACACACACATGGTAGGATTGCATACCTCGTTTTAGCTTTGCAGTCTTCCTTGCCTTGGCATTGTCATACAGAAGGCAGAAGCGGGCTGCTGTGCGACAGACATCACACACATCTTGCTTCCAGGCAACCTTGGCTAGCTCGGCCCAAATCACAATTCTGTACATCAAGACCCACGTGGCAAAAAGAAAGCACAGGTGAAATTAGGAACACCTGGAGGGATTGTTCTATGGCAAAGCCAGCCTACAGCACCCTACAACACCCTACAGCGCCCTACAGTATCCTGCAGCATCCTACAGCTTCCTACAGCATCCTACAACACTCTACACAACACCTTAACACCCTACAGCATCCTACAGCATCCTGCAGCACCCTACAGTACCCTAACACCCTACAGCATCCTACAGCACCCTAAAACACCCTAACACCCTACAGCATCCTACAGCACCCTACAGCATCCTACAGCATCCTACAACACCCTAACACCCTACAGCATCCTACAGCACCCTACAGCATCCTACAGCATCCTACAGCACCCTAAAACACCCTAACACCCTACAACATCCTACAGCACCCTACATCATCCTACAGCATCCTGCAGCATCCTGTAGCACCCTACAGTACCCTGCAGCACCCTGCAGCATCCTGCAGCATCCTACAGCACCCTAACACCCTACAGCATCCTACAGCATCCGACAGCATCCTACAACACCCTACAGCATCCGAAAGCATCTGGCAGCATCCTACAACACCCTACAGCATCTGACAGCATCCGGCAGCATCCTGCAGCATTCTGCTGCATCCTACAGCATCCTGCAGCATCCTACAGCATCCTGCAGCATCTGACAGCATCCAGCAGCATCCTACAGCATCCTGCAGCATCGTACAACACCCTGCAGCATTCTGCAGCATCCTGCAGCACCCTACAGCATCCTACAACACCCTGCAGCATCCTACAGCATCCTGCAGCACCCTACAGTACCCTGCAGCACCCTGCAGCATCCTACAGCACCCTACAGCATCCTGCAGCATCTGACAGCATCCGGCAGCATCCTACAGCATCCTGCAGCATCCTACAGCATCCAGGTGCCAAGTTCTGACTTGAGACACACAAGTGAGCTGGCTGAGGATTAGAATGGGAAGACAGTCCTAGATAGTGGGGTCATGCAGGGGTCATAACTCAGGGTCCAGAGTTGGAACATTTTGTAGGGTCAAGGCCCAGAGGTCAGAGCTAGGGCTGTCCCCCAGGTCATGTGTAGCTCTCTGGCTGTCCTCTCCCCAGTGCCAATGACACTTCTTGTCATTTAACAATGAGAAATGCCCCCACACAATTCATTTCCCTGTATGTGGTGTGGGTGGGTCTCCCTGGGATATGGACTCCTGTGGTGGCCTTCGCCAGCATGCCCTAAAAAGTGGCTCAGTGTTCCACAGGAAAGAGCCACACCCTTCAGCACAGAGGCTACATGTGGAGCATCTGTGGCTTGTCATCTCTCACAGGGTCCCAGGTACCCGTGAGCTCAGTGCCTGGATGAAGGTTTCAGCAGACAGACCCTCCTCCTGGCACTGTTTCCTCCTTCCTGGCTCACCTCTCTCTGTCATTCTCATATCCCAGACGCCGCAGGTGCCCAGCAGCTTTGTCCACGCTGAGGATGTAATGTCGAGCTTTTGCACAGAGGTAGGTGAAGCGACCCCTGGTTTTCCCGGTGGAAACTGAAAGCATGAAGCATTCAAGGTGAGGAGGTGGGCCAGGATTGGGCACTGCTGATCCAGGCAAATGGGACCATAGTCTGCAATGAGGTTTTGACAGCTGAGATCATTCTAGGGATATGAAGAGGCCATCACCAGGGCATCTTTTCTCTTGGACCAGCAATGACATTGAGCTACTGTGGTGTGTGTGGAGCCTCCTGCTCTCAGAGACAGCCTGTGCTAGCTCAGAAGGACCAGGCCTCTCAGACAGCACCCACTATGCACTTCCAAGCTCAGCAGTCATGTCTGCCTGATGTAGAGGCTCCGAATCACTGTCCCTTTTCCAGATCTAAGATGAACACCCACCCAGAGCTCAGCTTCATAGTGAGAGCTAGCTGCCAAGTGCAGAGCCAGGCACAGGAGACACCAGATAGGAAACTAGGGCTTGGGTTTGGGTGGGTGGGAATGCACCTCCTCTTGGGTGACCTCCTGCTTCCTGTGTGCTTCCGTATAAACACAGGTGTTCACTTGCTGGGGTATCCTCCACACTGGAACCCCATGCCTTGGTAAGTCCTACAGGTGCCAGCCTGGCACTATGTCCTTGGGTGAAAATGCAGACTCTTGGCTAACCAATTATGTTCATCTAATGAAACCAAGTAGGACAGGCTGACCCATGTAATGTCAACAGACCTACAGCTTCTCAGACTTTGAGAGTCAAAACAAAACCAGAGCCACAAAAAGGGCAAAGGATACGGTGGAGTAAGACAGACAGCTCCTGGGCTGGGAGGCCTATATTTTCGGGGGCTTCATTCATCCCAGCACAGGGCCATGACTCCATCCTCCCTTTCTTGCCCCTGCCTTGGATCCACAAAATGGGCTACAGCCAACTCAACTTCAGACTGTCATCTTCAAGGCTCACGTCTCTATAAGACTTTTTGTCAGAGCTGTGCTGGAGCTTTGATACAAAGAGCACCCCAGAGCTGCCATGTTTTTCCTTAGATGGTACCATGGACTGAATTGTGCCCAGAAACAGGTTGCTTCCAAGCCCTGTCTTTGGGACTCCAGGATGAAGGCTTGTTTTCAAGAGAGGGGGTCTGAATAAGTGATAAGGTTGAAGAGACTATCAGGAGGTCCTGTTCACTCAATGACTGAGACCTTGTACAAAGAGGACATTGAAGTAGACTTACAGGACAGCCAGTGAGGACATAGAGCAAAGCTGACTATCTACAAGCCAAGGGAGATGGCATCAAGATAGACCAGCCCATCACATCCCCATCACAGATGCCAGCATCTACAACAGTGAGGTTAAGTTCTGGTTGTGGTAGTCTACTAATAATAGTCACTTGTAGACACAATCCTTCTCTAGTGCTTCCAGAGACTGACATGATGTGTCACAAGGTCAAGAGCAGTGATTACAAGGTTAGTATTTAACCTTTGGCCTCATTCTCGCTGTCCAGCACGATCTGGAAGGTGTCAGGGGCGAGGGCCAGGCCTGCATTCACCAGGAGTGCACGCCTCTTCCGGGCACTGTCTTTCAAGGTGGCTTTCTTTGCCTGCAAACAGTATGATATGAACAATGTGAGGTAGTCCCACCACTGGGACAGCTGAGACTCTTGAGGCACCCTAAGGTTACACCCTCAGGCAACAGAGCTCCCACGGGCCTTCTGTATGCCAGACAGACCTTGAGCAGCTAAACTTGGGCCTCATGCCTGGGTCTGCATGGCCCCTAAGATTTTCTCTGTCTAGGGTTCCCCCTTAGACTCTTCATTTGAAGGCTGGCCTCACAATGGGTTGGGTCTGTACCTGCTCAATGGCCATGGTGGCCTTGTCCTCAGGGCGGTCGGGGGACTGGTACAGCATGGTACACAGCTGCAGCCGGCTGTAAGCTGTGCTCATCTTGTCCTGGTAGAGGCCTTGGCTGTCCAGGTGCATGGCCTTCTGCAAGTGCTCAATGGCGGGCTCCAGCCGGTCCTCATCCTGCTCAATATAAGCCATCTCCATGTGGACTTGGCAGCGCATCACGGTCATGAGGCTAGAGATAACAGCACGTGTGAGTGAGGAAGCTGTGGGTTGCTGATGTGCCTATGGGACTTTTGTCCAGTCATCAGCAAGAGGCACGGAGTCATATGACTACCCAGGACCCTGCTTTCTAACCTCCTTCCTGCCTTGTCTAGAAATCTGACAAAGGGAGAGAAAATCTGCAGTGGTTGTTATAGGCCCCTGGAGTCATGCTCACTGAGTCAGAAGAAGCAGACAAGGAAAAGGTTAGTGTAGTGCTTCCTGCTGTGGCACAAACATAAAGGCAGGCTCAGCTTTCCTATGGCCACCCAGACATCACTGTCACCCTGCTGTCTACTGTGATGTACCTCTGTCTCCGGAAACATACTTGGTGTCGATGTTGTAGTTCATTGTCTTTGCTGTGACGGATACACTGCTTGTTTGCCCAGGAGGCTTAGCCACATTCTGACTGGAGCTCAGCCAGGTTTGGAGAGTAAAAGCTTCATACAGTAGTGATGGGGGTGGATGGCACCTCAAGCACCACTTCAGAACACAGAGCTAACAACCTATGGACTGCTGGATGGAGATGCTCTAGGGCCTATACGCTCACCGACTTTCTACCAAGATGGAGATAGAAAGCATTCTCATGACCTCAGGGGTAACAGAAGTATTTTGCGGGTGTGCAGAGAAGTGGAGAGAACCTGTGTTAACAGGTGTTGGGGCACTGATACCCAGAGAAGCAGGGATCCAGTGCATCATGGTGCCCACTGTGGATGGAGTAACAGGGGCCCATGTGAAACTTGCCAGGAGCAGATAGCAGGACATCATTCATAGAGAGAAGCCCATGGGGGATCAGAAATGGAAATCACAACAGGAAGATGTAAAACCAGAGTTCACAAAAGCCAGATAGCTGCCCCAAGACTACATCTGCTTCTGCTTCCAGCTATGATAGAGTCACCTGGTCACCCATAGCATCTGAAAAAAAACGATCTAACAAGAGGGCAGCTGTTTATAGGCAATAATAGTATGTAACCGGGGTCCCTTGGAAGGAAACATATGAAGGAAGTAGCCATGGGCTTCCCAGAGGCAGAATAGGTGGGCACAGTGTCCTCTGAACAGGTGGCAGTCACAGCATGTGATTGCTGAACAGCAGGGATCTCTGTACCTCTGCCCCCGGCAAAACACAAAGGTCAGTCTGAAAAGAGCCCATGCCCCAGGCAAATTTTCTCTGAGAAGGGTGTGGGAAACCCCAGAGATACACTAGGACAAGGTGGACCAGCCAATGTGACTTTAAGACCATCAGCTAATATTAAAGTGCCCACCAAAACAAAAACAGCACTTCTTTTAAAACAGAAACAATCATGGTGCATTCAGAGTAGTTGGGAAACAGAGGCAGGAGGATCATTGCAAACCAGAGGCCAGCCTGATTTATATAAGAAATTTAAGGCTAGTCATGGCTGCATTGTCTACTAGCTATATAGGATCCTATCTTAAACAAATGCAAATGCAAATACTCCATAGGATACCATCTACAATGCTTAACACAGACTTATTAGTCATTTTAGTCATGCCCTGGGGTGAAAGACTATAACATAGATAGGCTGGCTGTTGGGTTGTGCAGATAAATCTTTTAAAGTAGATATCACAGCCACGAAAAAAGGGAAAACAGTGGTTACAAGTAAATACTACACCCAAAAGCTGTGTTAAGTGAAAGAAGGACCGTTCTAGACAAATACAATGGCAGAATGGACAGTCAGGAAGGCCATGAGCCTGGAAACAGCAGTGACCTCATCAGAAGAGAGCAAGAGAATTTAAAAAAACCAAACAGTGCCCAGGAACTGTGAGGAATGTCCCACATTCCATGTGTGTATAGCTAGCATCCCAGAAAGAGGAATGCATTCAAAGAAACCATAGCTCATAACTCCCCAAATCTTATAAAAGTGTCATCTAACATGCTTGAATTATATTAAAATTTTAAAGGCTCCTAAGAATATTATAATTAACATGCTGAAAAATTAAAGACAAGCTTAAAAACAGGAGGGAAATGGTGCTCCCAGAGAACCACACTGCACTGGACTGTCCATCAGAGATCATGGAGACCAGAAGAAAAACAAATCCCTGCAAGATGTTTAAAGAACAGTGTGTCTGCCAGTCCCCCATCCAGTAACAAGCAACATGTTTTCTGAAACTGAGACGTGTGGGATCCGTTCAGATGAGCAGGGCTGAGGGTGTCCACCAGCCTTGCCCTGTGGTTCGGGATGGATGCTCCCCCCCACATGGTGAACTCTGCTCTGTGGAAGAAGGAGATGGTCCTGGAAGTAGCAAAGATGAGGTGAGCATAAGAGGCCATGGTTTTCCTAGAATGAAACGATTATCAGCAATAGGCACAGATTAGCTGTGGGGTGGCACCTTGGTGGCATAATAAGGCCAGCATCTCCACGGGTGGCAAGAGGGGTGGTGGGAACTAAGTGCCTCAGGCAGGCTGTGCCGGGTAAAGGGAGCCCAGCTGTGACCTCGGAGATACATAAAAGGCAAGGAAGCCAACAGAAGGAAGAGGGAATTCTAGACTATTCAGCTAGCTCCTGGGGATAGCACAGAGGCAGAATGGAGAGAGGAAGAGCATACTGGTGAGCGTCCAGACTGTCACCTCATGGTAGACAAGCTGTGTAACAGTGGCACTGGGAGCAGGCATGTCAGAGTCTGCATCGAACAACACAGAATGCCAGACTAGGCGTGCACACAGCCTTAATGGAGAGTGCAGGGAAGGCAGTGTATCACACCCTAGCTAGGACATGCAATGCTCCCCTCCCTCGGGTCTTTATGGCTGACAAAACCAGGATGCAGAGCATGAGCCATGTGACCACCCAAGCATGGTGACACAGTGCTCTGAGGATGGGCTCCCTCATTTCAGTCCACACTTAGGGACTGTCTCAGACTGAAGACTTCCAGGATACAGATGACAAGCACACCCTGGGCCTGGATGATTTCACTGACGATTATGGGAAACAAGACAAGTAGTTGTATCGGTTCCTCTGGAAAGCAATTTTCGAATGACACCTCATAAGTCATTGTATAAAGCCAGCATGACCTTGGTGCTAAATTGGCAGAGACATAAGGTCTGAGCAGGCAGGTCATCAAAACAGACAGGTGAATGTCAACATCACGGCAAAGACACTTTGTTCACACAGGTAAATAAAAAAGTACCTACTGATGAATAAAAATGTATATCCGCAGAGCAGCTGAAGTCAAGGAATAAATAAAACCAAGCGTTTGTGAGGACAGTGAATGACAGAGCCCCTGCAGTATGCTGGGTGAGCAAAGAGCACTTAGAAGGAGTCTTTAGATTATGGTGATAGCCTGTCTACCACATGCCCACAATGGCTATTGAGGCTACGTCTACAAGTCTCTCTCCAGACAATCACCACCACTATATATCGTCACGGAGATAGAGTGAGGCCTGCTTATGCCATGAGGGTTCTTGATCTGGTTCCCCGGGTGACAGAAAGGCATCCGCTGAACAAGTGCAGCTGGGCTCTTGTACCTGTGTGCCCCTCAAATGATGCTGAGAACAGTGTGCACACACCCTGGACTCTGTATGTTTGTAGTACTAAAAATCCCTATCCCGGCTCTCCCCCCACTAAGAGCCCTTGGGGCTAACACAGGAGAAATGGTGCCTACCTATCAACTTTTTCCAGAATCTCAGCGATGGTGGTCAGTGGCTTCCGGAGGTAGTGCCTCAGGTTGCGCTGCAGCAGGGGGAGGCAGGCGTTCCACTGTGTGGTACATAGCACATGGATGGTTGTGGGGTCACCCAAACGGATGGCCCGCTGCAGTATGACGTCCAGTCTCTTTATGATGTCCAGCTGCTCCTGTAGGGATCATGTTGAGTAGCCAGCTAAGGGTTGTGAGACTAGGATAGGAAACTAGCTATGATCACCATCTGGAAAGGCCAGTGCTGGGGATGGCCATCAGGGTAGATGGCAGATTAGGGGGGTCAGGCACCAGCTATTTCCAGGTCATCAGATCCCTCTGAGAATGCCACAATGATCCTTCCCATTCCATAGTGGGCACTTGGCGAGACATTCAGACAAAAGGCTTAGACAAAGCGAAATCAAAGTTCATTTATTTCTTACTGGAGTCTACTCATTCATTCACTACTGAGACCCACCACCTCTGGTTTGTGTTATGTGTCCTTTCCAGAAGAAATGCTCCCAGGCAGGAATTTTAGAACACTCTCACCATGCTCTGAGCCTTCCTCCCACCCCACACCTATCCTATTCTCGGCCGCATGCCCCATGGCCTCTGGCTTCCTGGCCCCTGGCACCTCACTGTCACACTGTACCAGTGCTTTCAAAGCTGGCCTGGCCCCAGTAGTCCTGGGCCTAGGGGAACTCTGACTTGGGCTTAAGGATTTACCTCAACGGCTCCTCGAAGGTACATTTTAAGTCTACTCTCCAGTCTCAAAGCTTCTAATTCACACTCCAGGCCTTCGATTTCTAGCTGCTTGGCAAGATCCTGTGGATGCAGATGGAGTTTGGAGCACAAAGACATAAGTGACAGCAATCATGCACACTCATCAGCCTTAAAGACCCTTAAGATGCCTTGAATTTCCCAGAAGAAACAGAAACCAGAAAAATGGACAATCAGAGAACGGCACAAAGTCACGGGAAGAAAACATGCTGTGTCTCAAAAGACACAAAGGGAGAAAGACTTTCTGAAACCTTTTAACAGGAGGGGAAATAAAAACCTCACTGATTTTTAAAGAACTTGATTTTCCCTTATTTCTTCATTTCTCTCTTTTGTAAAATGTAGACTCTCACATTTTAGCTAAGACTTCCCCAGAAGCTCAGGACTCATGCCAGTCCTACCTCAACTTTCTGAGTGTGGGCATTACAGAAGTAAACCACCACATCTGACCTAAATGAAAAAAACATGATTGTGTGAATGCATGTGTGCGAGTATGGAAGTCAGAGAACAACCTGCAAGAGTTAGCTCTCTCCTTTTGCTACGTGGATTCCACGGATCAAACTCAGGTCCTCGGATCTGGTGACAAGCACCTTTACACTAAGTCATCTCAATCTCTGGTTTACATTCTTCTTCCCTTTGTTTTTAATTAAGAATTTCATATGTGCATATAATGTGTTTTAATGAAACTCACCCCTATTCACTCCCCTTTAACTCTTCTATCTCCACAGCCTCTATTCTGTAATGTTGGGGGGAGTCTGTGAGTTCCTAGCTTTATTTTTAAATAATAAAACTAGCTTCCAACATCTATGAAATTTAGCAACTGGCTTTGGTATGAGGTACCATGCCCTTGTGGGAGAGTGTGACATAAGCCCTGTCCCTGCCATCATTATGACCATTGCAGGGTTCTTTGAGTGAACCTTGTTCAAGGACCTCATCCCAGTCTTGAAATCTCACAGCTGGAAATCTGAAGTTTAACGAGGCAGTTTATGGGGAGGCGCACAGCCAAAATTTCTGAGCTTCTCAGTGTTACACAGTTACACTGTTCAAGTCTTAATGACAAAGCATTTCAGAGAACACATGATGCCTGTGCCCAAGGTACAGGCTTCCATAGATGGATGTGGCTCCTGCATGGATGAAACTCATCTCTGTATTTCACTACCAGTTTTAGTTTATTTAGAGAATAAAGGGCATATAGTCAGCTCAAATATTTGATGTGTACAATTTGGCAAACCTTGGCTTGCGCCTATACAAATCCAGGAGAGCCTAACCAGCTGAAGACACAACACTGACCCATCTGTTTCCTGTGCCTATGCCCCTGCCGACTGGCCACCCAAGCAACTCATCGACTTTTCAAACAGCATCTTCATTTGCTTAGAATGAGTGAGGGAATCACATGGTGTTCCCTGTTCTTAAACTTTGTTATACACAGTGAGAGCAAGGTAAAGTGGAGATGCTTCCCCTACACTCCTGAGCACTCACTTGAGAATTCAGAGTTTGGTTCTCTGGCTGAAGAGGACGGGAGCTATATCCAGGTTGTCTGCAGAGAGTCTCGCTGTCTTACTTCTCCAGGTAACCTGCTTTCCCAGCAGGAATGCTGCCCTAGTGTGAATGTGCTTACAGTGTCCAGCAAAGGGGTCAGGGCAGCTTTCCCGAGTGCCTGTCTCCTGCTCCTCTGCCCGGTGACCTGTAGCTGCTTTATCCCCACTATATCCCACCACTAGCAGGTTGACGCCTAGGCTTCTCCTGAGGCCCCTTACAGATGGTTAAACGGCACAGGACTTTCCCTCATTATCTGCTGTCCAGTGCCTTGAAGATTGTAGTTTCTTGTATGCTGTGTAGTGTTTAGGTACTTCTGACTTGAGGACAATGTTGCTGCATCTCTGCTGTTTGGGCCACAAGGTAGACTCCATCACTGTCTCTCAGCACTGCTTCACATGGCAAAAGGCTCACTTATTTCTGGACAGTCACGTAGAATTGTGTTTTTGCTTTTATTTTGCCAAAGTTCCAGATGTTTGGGCTCAGCGCTTCTTCCTCCTATGTATGTCTCCATACTGACCCTGAAAGTGGCCTGACTCTTCCACTCCTAGCCATAGGTTCCCTGAAAGTGGCCTGACTCTTCCACTCCTAGCCATAGGTTCCCTGAAAGTGGCCTGACTCTTCCACTCCTAGCCATAGGTTCCCTGAAAGCTGGCCATCTTCAGCAAGATGGAGACGTTTCTTGAGTACCTCTTAGGCACCAGCTTCTGTACCAGGAGGTAGCGGTATAGGAGGGAGTAAGCCAGATGTGTTCCATTCTCAAGAGGGCTGCATACCAGCAGGGAAGATGGACAATGAGCACAATATGGCGCATACTTCTCAGGAGACCCAGGAGACTTCACTGGCAAAGCATGGCCAGTCTTCCCTGAACTTGTACCAAGGACCGTAACAAATAACAGATGTTCTTTGCCAAATTGAGACATCTGTTCTCACAGGGAAAGAATGGGGTGTTTTTCACAGAAAATAAAAACAGGGCAAACAGGATGTAAAAAGTTGGAAAACTTACCGACACTAACGTTACTATTTCACAGTTGTCTACAGAAGCCTTAACTAAAAATATAAATTTAATGTCTCTCAAGTATACATGAATAAGAATGACACACTTTAGACACATTGAGGTGGAGGCCTAGAACAGACCAGTGAGGAAAAGGGAGGGTGTGTGAAATCAGAGGCACAGCACCCTCAATCCCCCCTTGTCCCTGAGTTAAAGATACTCAGAGCAAGTGGCCAAGGTACACTATTACAAAGACTGCAGCTTCAATTAGGGAAGGCAGAGCCAGGAAGCCCAATGGCCTCCTTGGCGTGTTAGTTGGGCTGCTTCAGCAGATGACAGAGAGCCTTGTGGATGGGCAATAGCTGTGGAGGAGGAGGAGAGAGGCCTGCCCCTGGGCAGTGCTCTTGGGGTGGAGTTGGAAGCTCTTTGGTATCGTAGGTTTCCCTTGCAGGCCTACCTGGCAAGGTGGGTCTGTCCCCAGCCCTCTCCCCTCACCAAGTACAGATGTCATTGTGAGATGTGCCCCATTAGCACTGCTCTCTTAGAGACAAAACCCAGGATTCAGAGAGAGAAGGAAGCTCTTGTTTGGTGAAGAGGGGGCAATGCTGGGTTTGGGTGCTGGTGTCAAAGACACCTAGAAGAGGAAAATGGACCACAAAAGAGTTTGGTTAAGTGCCGCAAAATAAACCCCACGTATCCCCAGCCTCAACTGCCTCCTCCTCACCCCGCTGGCCTGTCCTGTCCAAGTGTCGCCCGATGGTTAAGGTCCAGATAGTCTTATTTAAACCAGTTCTATGTTGGCACCCCATACGCATCCTGCTCTCCCTTTGGCTATGTGAACTGCTCTTGCTTGTCTGCTGTCCTGTGGATTTATTTAGTTAACAAACTACAGGCCACATAAGGTCACCCTCATAGGTAACCGGGACTGTGCAGGTGTTCAATCGAGACAGCAGGAAGCGGTGGTCCAGACAGAGACCAGGTTCTCCAGCACAACCGTCATTTAACCTCGTTCTGAATGCAGCAGCTCCACTCTGGAAATGCCTCATTAAGAGCCCTGCCATCCCAAAGCCCGCTTCTAAGCCTGCGTGTGCTCCTAAACTTCCCCTGGATAGCAATATTGTCATAAGCATAAAAAATTTAACAGTGACAGTTCTTGATGATCCGTGTCACCGAGGAATCCCTAATTGCTAAATTATTAGTTTAGGCATAGAACTTCTATTGTAGTCCTTTGTGAAATAAGCAAAAACTAAGTATGACTTAAATGTCCAGGGGTCAGAGGAGCATGAGGTATGTCATTACTCCTATGAGCATTACACAGCCCTTCCCTGAGCAGTGGTGACAACACAGGTCAGAGCCAGTGACAAAGGTGAAAGGAAGGACCAGCAGACACAGCCAGTACACTCGTGCAGGAGGCTGAGGACAGAAGGCCTTTCCCACCAACACTTCTTCTTTTCAGCCCTGGGGCCATAGTTTTCTGAGCTACCCCCTGTAGCCACTTACTTTGGTTTCAAGTTTCTTCAGATCTGAGAGGCAGTCGCTGGCCACTGACACATTTTTCAAGGTCACAGACAGGCGGCCCAATTCAAAAAGCAGAAGCATTCTAGAAATAGAGGAACAAGCAGGCACTGGCTCAGCACGGGGAAGAAATGCACTGTTTGACAGTGACAATGCCAGTCTTGCTGCACCGTGACAGTTGTGTGACAATGGCTAAGAGTAAAGTAAGGAAAGCTACAGACCTGCTGTGCTGGCCCTGCCCCGTGACCCAAAGCTCTCCGCAATGCTGCATCTGTCCGTCCCCACTGGACACACTCTTCCCACTCAGAATTCCAGGCTACTGCCCAAATGCTGTGAGGCCACAGCAGCACTGGGCCATCACAAACTCCCTGTACAGTTACCCTGTGAGGCTCTGCCGATGTTCACCTTGTGAACTCAATTTAGGAAGGCCATGTGGGGAGAGACACGGCACAGGCTCTTCCTCCCTGTGACGGGCATATGGGATGTCACCAATGTAGTCAGCATCACCAATCTGAGTCACAGTGGGTGATGCTTAAATGTGTCTTAAAGTGTAGGGCCTGTGATTTGTTCTTTGAAAAAGAACAAATTGGTAGAGGCAATCGCCCATTTCTAAGACTTACGCCAGGCTGTCGTTCTTCAGGAGACTGGCCAGAGCTCCCTGACCTCGACCTTGAACCTTCCCCGACTCATCATACTCTGTTCCGTCACCACATCCCTGCTTTCCTCCCATTGGACTCCAGAAACGTCACCAGCAGTGACCACTAAGGGTCTCCAGATACTGGCAGCCATTCTGGCAGAACAGACCCAGTGTCTCCCTGACTTTGTAATGTTAGAAACACATCCAGACAGAGTCTCAGTGACTACATGTGGTGGCGCCTCCTGTTGCTTTGGTCTTGAGCTGTTTCGGGTGGGAGGCAGGGTTAGGAAAGGGAAATCTATTTTCTGCCCACCCTTCTCTCCTCGGGCTCTGCATATCCAAGGCATGGCCCTAGGACTTCTGCTTCCAAGCTTCACCTGAGCTCTGGGCCTGATAGGCAGGTCTAGAAGGGGGAACTCAGGGAAGGGTAAAAAGTTGGTCCCTGGACCATTTTGGTTTTGAACAAATGTTACATTTTTTTTCCTCCAGTCAGATTCCTAGACACAGAAGCCCAAATGAGGATATTGCAGTATGGATCTGTAGTGTTGGGAAGCTCCAAGGCTCTCTGGGCGTGGGCAAAGGTCCTACATCTATTAAAAGGCAGTTCGGGCTGGTTATGATGTACCCTGGGCAAGTGGGGAGCTATACAGCTGTTCCCTAGAAGTGGTAGTTGAGTATGGATTGCACAAAGAGCTGTGAATCTGAAACAGTCCTGGGGTCCTTCTAGACACAATGGGTTCAGCTAGAGGTTCAGATGGAAGTAGAGCCTTGGAGAGTAGCTCCCCAACAGCTCTCTGTAGAGAATGCCATCTGAGGTATGTCGATAAGAGGAAACATCGGCCAGGAGGCTACGGCCAGTGAGTTCCTCAGAAGTCACATATCCTTTCCCAGGTTCCCCTAAGTAGCTGAGTTCACACATGTAAAGGACCAAAGACAGCATCTGGCCCAGGATTGGTGGGAATACATGTTAGCTTACATTAGTCTTATGTTAAGTATAACATTCTGTATATCAAAACTTAGAAAAGCTTAACTGGTCACCTGGATAACTTGTACCTATAATAAAGCTGAAGGGCTCAGATCTCAATACTTGAAAGACCTTACAGCCGACTGCATAATGGGTATGTATACCGTATTTTAAAAGTCAGATAAAAGAGGGAGCATGGACAACAAAGAAAGCGGAGCTCATACATGTATGAGTAAATGTCTGGCTTCATCATGGCCAAGCACTGGGACTTCGATCTTACAGGCTCAGCGGAGTCACCAACACATTAGAAGGCAAGTTCCCTGTGTGCCTGCCCTGCGCAGCACCCTACAACTCCATTTCTAGGAGTTTATCTCAGAGAGAGATGCAGCAAGCGTTTTCTCATAAGGGGTCTCACCATCACCAAACCCCTGGTACAATACCCTGCTATGGACAGGACGGCTGGAGTCTGATGTTGGGTAAAGTAACTTGGAGAATCTGATGACAGATTTGGCCTTCCTTCCAGGAGCAAGCACATATGCATGTTCACATGTATATGAGCACTCAGTCCTCTCAGAGAGCTGTTATTAACCTGATGAGAGGGTCTGGGGGCTGGTGAGGGGAGCCCAGAATACAGAAAGACCTGATCCCTCTCCTCTGGCTATCACTTAGGCTTTAGGGTCCTTGGGACTCCAAATGCGACCCTTTGCATGCCCCTCCCCCTGAGGAGTATGTGTCACACACTACACAGCCACTGTGTGCAAACAGAGTCTACCCCAGGCCTGAACCACACATTGCCAGGTCTATCGACATATGGTGCTTTCTGTGGCTGTTCTGATAAAGCAGGCCATCCTCACTGGAGATATGCTATGGGCCATAGGGAACTAATTGTGCCAGCAGCCATGTGAGCAGGGATGCTCTCTCCCAGCTTAGCTGCTAAAAAGGCCTGGGGGAGGCAGCTAACATCTTGCTGGTGAATGAATGGGAGTCTCGTCCACAGACACAACCCGATAGATACAAATGTGCCCTGTTACAAGCCTCAGCTTGTGGCCATCTGTCACACAGCCACAGACAACTGACACATGCTCTGGGTCAGTTTTCTGGGTTCCTACAAGCCAGGCATCAAATGGCGGGCATGATTGTCTCAGACCTCAAATCAAAGCATTCCCCAGGCTACATTCCATTTGAAGACTCAGTAGAGGATCTCTCCTGGCTTCTCCAGGTTGTGGCCAGTAATTGTTGGTACTTCTGTTCCCATATGAGTCTCTGTGCCTTAATTTTCCTTTTCTTAAAAGGACACCTGTCCTGGGTGTCCTTATTGGGCATGACACATCTGAACTTATAGCTACAAAGGCCCACTTCCACATTTCTGCGCAATCAGATGCAGACACCATTACCATCAATGGTGCATCCTCTTGGACATAAAACTCTAGACACTTCAGCCCAAGTCAGTGGTCAAATGAACCTAGAGGCTAGCCGGTGCTCTGCCTCTGGTAACACTGGCTGTCATACGGAGAGGCTCTGCGGCTAAAACAATTATCACAGTCAAGTGGTCAACAGGTTTCTTACATTAGAAGTGAACATTAGTTAGTGAGAAAAATCATTGAGAATTCAGAAGACAAATCCTTGGAGGAGGCTATTTGAAAGCCCCAAACATAGGTGAATGATGAACCCCAGTGGTGACCAGAGACTTGGAAATCAAAAGCCACCATGAGGGGGCAATTACGATCTCATCATCTCAAATAAATGCAGTGCTCACAAGGGTGTGATGAACAGTCACTGAGGCGAGAAACAGACCCCTGCCACCACTATGGGAGAACATTCCAGATCCCCTCCTCTGCATCAATACCATCGACTCTTCATTCGAGAGCCAGCCCAGAACTCCTCCCAACTCCACCAGTATGCAGAAATGCCAGAAACCTCAGAACTAAGATGAGCTACTGGGAAGGACTCAGGTCAATGCATTCTTCTGTGTAGCTACTAAGAAGTTTACGAGGCTCCATGGCGAATTGAAAATGATTGTGCTTAGAAGCTGCAACTGATTTTCCATGGTAGGATAAGAAGGGTCATACCCCAAGTGCAGTACCTAGACAGTATAAATGTCAGAACAATATTGTCAGAAAGGCAGCACCAAATCCTCCCCCTGGTGTGGGGCGGGTACTTGCGTGGTTCTAGGTGCTTATTTTCATGTATCTATATCACATTTTTTTAAAATGGTACTTTCTGAATAGTGTGTGGTCGCCATGTAGGTGTCTGTGTGTGTGCAGACACAGGAAATCTTACACTTACTTTTCTTCTTTGATAGAAGGGAAGCGGTGGTGATTATAATGACTTAAATGTTTATAGGTTTTTCTCAGAATTCCGTCGATGTCTTCTGGCAAATTATGTTTATCCAATTTCCTAGAATTGATTTAAACGCTATGTTGTCAAATCATCCTGTCATATTTATTAAAAAACTATTCTCTGGGAAACTCTTAAATCAATGAGCCCATGCTTCTTAAGAATGGCAATCTTAAAACATCCCTTCTCTCTTTGTGCCTAATTTCCCAGGCAAATTTTGATGACTCCTTATCTTTCTCTTTGAAGGCAATATTCCTTTTCTTATACCACTGCAGGGAAATGCCAGGGAAGTGTGCAGGGCATGTCTGCCAAGCCACCATTGTATGTAGGAGCCCTGTTCTGTGATATTTTGGCCCTTAAAAGACACTATGTATCTCTGCATTATTACCAGGATGTCAAAACCACTCTAAAATAAGCAATTCCCTCAGCTTCAAACATGTTCTTGTCTCCACACTCACATCAGGACTGAACATATTGCAGTTTCTCACTCTGCTCAGGACCAAGCATCCTGTAATCTCCTCACACTCCTCAGGACCAAGCATCCTGTAATCTCCTCACCCTCCTCAGGATCAAGCATCCTGTAATCTCCTCACCCTCCTCAGGACCAAGCATCCTGTAATCTCCTCACCCTCCTCAGGACCAAGCATCCTGTAATCTCCTCACCCTCCTCAGGACTAAGCATCCTGTAATCTCCTCACCCTCCTCAGGACCAAGCATCCTGTAATCTCCTCACCCTCCTCAGGACCAAGCATCCTGTAATCTCCTCACCCTCCTCAGGACCAAGCATTCTGTAATCTCCTCATCTCCTCAGGACCAAGCATCCTGTGATCTCCTCACTTTCCTCAGGACCAAGCATCCTGTGATCTCCTCACTCTCCTCAGGACCAAGCATCCTGTAATCTCCTCATCTCCTCAGGACCAAGCATCCTGTGATCTCCTTTTCTCCTCAGGACTAAGCATCCTGTAATCTCACTTTCCTCAGGATCAAGCATCCTGTAATCTCCTCACCTTCCTCAGGACCAAGCATCCTGTGATCTCCTTTTCTCCTCAGGACCAAGCATCCTGTAATCTCATCATCTCCTCAGGACCAAGCATCCTGTAATCTCATCATCTCCTCAGGACCAAGCATCCTGTGATCTCCTCATGACCAAGCATCCTGTGATCTCCTCACTTTCCTCAGGACCAAGCATCCTGTGATCTCCTCACTCTCCTCAGGACCAAGCATCCTGTGATCTCCTCACTTTCCTCAGGACCAAGCATCCTGTAATCTCCTCATCTCCTCAAGACCAAGCATCCTGTAATCTCCTCACCCTCCTCAGGACCAAGCATCCTGTGATCTCCTCACCCTCCTCAGGACCAAGCATCCTGTAATCTCCTTTTCTCCTCAGGACCAAGCATCCTGTAATCTCCTCACTTTCCTCAGGACCAAGCATCCTGTAATCTCCTCACTTTCCTCAGGACCAAGCATCCTGTAATCTCCTCACCCTCCTCAGGACCAAGCATCCTGTAATCTCCTCATCTCCTCAGGACCAAGCATCCTGTGATCTCCTCACTTTCCTCAGGACCAAGCATCCTGTAATCTCCTCACCATTCTCAGGACCAAGCATCCTGTAATCTCATCATCTCCTCAGGACCAAGCATCCTGTGATCTCCTCACTTTCCTCAGGACCAAGCATCCTGTAATCTCCTCACCCTCCTCAGGACCAAGCATCCTGTAATCTCCTTTTCTCCTCAGGACCAAGCATCCTGTAATCTCCTCACCATTCTCAGGACCAAGCATCCTGTAATCTCATCATCTCCTCAGGACCAAGCATCCTGTGATCTCCTCACTTTCCTCAGGACCAAGCATCCTGTAATCTCCTCACCCTCCTCAGGACCAAGCATCCTGTAATCTCCTTTTCTCCTCAGGACCAAGCATCCTGTAATCTCCTCACTTTCCTCAGGACCAAGCATCCTGTAATCTCCTCACCCTCCTCAGGACCAAGCATCCTGTAATCTCCTCACCCTCCTCAGGACCAAGCATCCTGTAATCTCCTCATCTCCTCAGGACCAAGCATCCTGTGATCTCCTCACTTTCCTCAGGACCAAGCATCCTGTAATCTCCTCACCATTCTCAGGACCAAGCATCCTGTAATCTCATCATCTCCTCAGGACCAAGCATCCTGTGATCTCCTCACTTTCCTCAGGACCAAGCATCCTGTAATCTCCTCACCCTCCTCAGGACCAAGCATCCTGTAATCTCCTTTTCTCCTCAGGACCAAGCATCCTGTAATCTCCTCACTTTCCTCAGGACCAAGCATCCTGTAATCTCCTCACCCTCCTCAGGACCAAGCATCCTGTAATCTCCTCACCCTCCTCAGGACCAAGCATCCTATAATCTCCTCATCTCCTCAAGACCAAGCATCCTGTAATCTTCTCACCCTCCTCAGGACCAAGCATCCTGTGATCTCCTCACTTTCCTCAGGACCAAGCATCCTGTGATCTCCTCACTTTCCTCAAGACCAAGCATTCTGTAATCTCCTCACCCTCCTCAGGACCAATCATAGTGTAATCTCACTCTCCTCACTCAAAAACACTATGGATTCCTCATGGACTACCTCAAGTCTCATCTGGCAGGACTTGTGAGAAGAATCTGATTCAGTTGTGGACTTTTTTCACTTGCTGGGACTCTAGTTACTCTGTTGGTGGCTTCACTACCCCCTTGCTTCTCAGTAATGGATGTAGTAAACGAGGATTACTTTAGAGCCTCCCCACAAAACTCTAGTACCACCTCCTTTAGAGTAGCCCCTACAGCCAGCCCTAGACCCTAAAACTCCCTGTCACTGACAAAGGGCATCCTAAGGGAGGGGACAGTATCCTGATCCCAGCCCAAGCTCAACTTTCCCAAACCACTTACGCTTTTAGTGAATTGATGTGGTATGTGATGGAGAGACTGGTGGAATGCTTCTTCTCTTCTATTAACTGATGATTGTCCATCAGCTCGTAGCGAACCTGTCCAGGAATGTGGCTGAATGTTACTTGGCATTCAAATAAGGAATTGGAGATTCATTCAGATTTTGTGCCTAGACATTATTTTATCCCCCCTATAAAATTAATATTTGTAATTAAGACAAATTCTCACTAAGTTTTATACATTTCATATATAACTTATGCTGATTCTTATACATCAAAATTAACAGATTGTAGACACTTTGGGGGCATGATGCTATAGTAGTCACTTGTATTTCACAAATTTTCTGTTAATCTTTTTTTAAAAAATTGAAGCTGTTACAAAGAAGTATTTGAATAGTAATGAAAGGACTTCGCTTTTTCATATAGAATGAACTGCTTATTTTTCTTGCTTTGTTCACGTATGTTTGTATTTTTATATTCCTCAACAAATGGGCCTATTGTGGTTTTGTGCGTAGTCTCTGAGCAATGACTTGTAAGAATGCCACTTCTTGCCTTTCCTTTTAAAGTGTCTGCTTACCATGATTGAGAACATATACCGGTACTTGTGCGGCACATGGGTTTTGATGAAGGGTGCAGCCGTCAAGCAGAACTTGGCAGCCTCCTCATTTTTTCCTGCTTGCAGGTAGCATTCAAGAAGTTCCCTGGACAACAGAAGGCAGCCGGCATCAGCCTCCTTAGCGGTCTTCTGTGGAAAATCTCTAGGAGCCAGGTTCTCAGGCTTTTGCAAACTCTGTGTTTCACAAACTTTCACAAGTTTTCCCAGGGCAGCGCCTGACACTCAGCAGGATTCATGGCAAGGCCAGCAGGATGGAAGAAACTACTGCGGACAGCCATCGGCATTTTAATTATCAACAACATTTCCAGACACTTTGAAGGAAGATCTCATTTGCATCAACTTGCTCTTAGCGGCTCCCCAAATGGTCACACTGTGGTCTAGACTTGAGCTGACATCTTTGGTGCTGGGATCTAGATTGTCAAAAATCTACTCCGCTCCTTGCTTGTAGCAAGTTCCTGACAAAACCTGTGGAAGATCCCCTCTGGGTCTAGCTGCTGGCGCTGTGACCAGGTGTTTGCTGGTGTCCCGTGGCTTCACAGCAGCAACCCCAGAGCTCCCATGCACAGTCACCTGGGAACTCAGACGTAATGCTCATATTGGCACGCCCATTTGCCAAAGTGCCTACCAACACGAAAACCACAACGAGAGCGCCAACAACAAAACCCCACCGCACTAAGGTTTCGAGGGCCAGGACTAGTGACTGTGTCACATCTCCTTTCATCTGAACCCTCATGCATCTCTAAAGCCTGTTGCAATATCCATAGATCTCTGGAAAGAACATTCTGACAAATCAGGAACCCAGCCCCTCCCTAGGAAGAGAAAGAGAGGTACATATGGCCTGGGTCATAATAAGCTTAGGACTTACCCAGGGCTGTTAATTAAGGTCTACTGTCCCCACTCACGTCATCAGCTCTGCCTGCCACTCCTTGTCCTCTTCTTCTGTCTGGTTTAACACGCTGATGATTTGAGAGAGACTAGGGATCACATACTGGTGGTATCCAGGCTTGAGAAATGGCCGCACCATGTGCCAGTAGAGAACAGAAGCATTGAACACCAAGAAGTAATACCTGGGCGGGGAGTGGACGTCGGAATGCTAGAGGCACAGGGCTGGACCTGGTTCCTGGACCCATGGGATAGGGGAGGTGTGTCCCATCATCATCAGGTACAGGTACCTCATTTGATGTATTTCTCTGCAATCTGCATCAGCACCAGGATGCACAGCCACCCCTGACAGCCCTGTTCCACATAAACAGTGGTGGTCTCACAGTGGTGATGGCATGGTACCTGTCTGGACTAGGTTCCTTCCAGGAAAATACAGTCATAGGCAAGGAAAGAAGGGACATGGAAAGCTTCCTGGAGGAGTGGCATCCTATTGTGACCAGGAAGAAGCCCAAGAATCGGCTAGGGACCGAGCAGACGTAAGATAGCCAGACGGAGTGTTGAAGGTGGAAGTGAGGGGCTGGTGACAAACGCCATGTCTGAGCATAAGCCCTTGAGGAGGTGCTGAAGGTGTGTGAAGAGGCGCTTCCCAGACGTCTCCCTCTGCGTGGCAGGGTATCACGTGTGGGGGTCACATGGGGGAGCTGCAGGACTTTCTTTCTGTAAAGCCACTGTCTGGAGTGGGCAGCCCTGCCATTCTGTCAGCTGACTGGTCATCAGACAGGCCATTACTGCTCATTACTCAGGAAGGAGGAAGGAAAACCAAGTGGCCAGCAACCAAAGCAGTGAAGTCCCAGTCACCCCTCGGCCCATCTATCATTGTCTCCAAGACCCTTGCAGTGGAACATGGCCAGGAACTAAAGGCTGTCTTTGGAAACATTCATTCCACTTAGATCTCTGGTGCAGGGTCGGCTCCTGACCCCTGGAGGGAAGGTCTACGGGGCTGAACTCTGTGCCCTTGTACATATGTAGTTTGTGACCTGACAGGGCCTTCCACAGACGAGCAGAGGGCACGGGCAGAGGGAACGAAAGCTTCTTCTAATGCTGGGTCCCACTGCATGTGTGCCAATGGAAGTGTATGCCAACTTCACTTTCCAATGATGAATTTGGGTTTGGGTGGGGAAAAGACAAGCACCAAACAGAAAACTGCGCTGGTGTTTTGCAGAGCCAGAAAGAAGTGCAGGGGACAGGAAAAGGTGAAGACGCAGAGCACCACGGTCCAACAGAGGATCCCCAGGGTGTGCCCTGGGGGACAGTCCAACAGAGGAACCCCAGGGTGTGCCCTGGGAGACAGTCCAACAGAGGCTCCCCAGGGTGTGCCCTGGGGGACAGTCCAACAGAGGCTCCCCAGGGTGTGCCCTGGGGGACATGTTCGGAAGGAGGCCATAGAGAAAACCCTCTGACAGTCAGCAACACACCTCCACAGGTCCTAAGAACAGCAAGGATGCCACTTTTGGGAAGGCTGCATGAACGTGTCTGATACTACCAGGTAATAAGACTGTAAGACCCCGAATTTATAGAAATAAAATATAAGCTTAAACAGGGAGGGCACCCCACTAGAGAACTTGGGAAGTGAACAAAGGACCCCATCCCAGGAACCGGCCATACCACAGAATGGAATGTATGGGTTAGAGACCTTAATTGCAGAAGGGCTGTAAATCCACAAAAAGCCAATTATGGGCTGCCACCTGTGAAGAACTGACCAGGGCAAACAAGACTAGTGGGAAACAAGGAGATAACACTATTTACTTAGGGAGAGATAAATTAACTCATGCCAAGGTTTGATGTGAAGAACATCTACTTCCCCGGGACAGGAGTCACGTACCCCCTTCCCCCGTCACGAGATAGGGACCCCTCCCAAAAGCTTGTGGTTTTTGTCTTTAAAAGCTGATTGTAACTGAACCTCGGGGCCAATCGGTCTAAAAGCTGACCGAGAGGCCCATCTGCAGATGCCTAATTAAAGCCTCTTGCGTGTTGCATCAATTGGCGCGTGGACTCTTGATTCTTGGGGTGATGAATCCGGCTTGGGGACCCCTCCTCAATTCGGGGCACCCCAACAAGACAAGCCTGTGCTATAACTCCATTAAACGCAAAACAAAAAGGAGAGGGATGGATGATAGTGCAAATAATTAGCATCACTTGGTACTTTGGGGCACCAAAGTCTTATGCAATCAACTAGAAGGCAGTTTTGCATGCCTACCTCGGTTCTCCTTTTGCGAAGTTTATAGCCTTCATGTATTGAGTCACGCAATTTTCAAATTCCTCCTAAAACAGCACAATGAATGCACAGGTAAGCACTTTTGCCATTCAAGCACCCATCACTGCTCATCTCCATTTCTGTCACCAAATGCAAACTACTTGGTACCCTAGCTTGTGCACAGTTGGGGTACAGTGGAAGACTCTTGGGAAGCCACAGCTGGCTGTGCTCATGGGTGCCAGATTCTGCCCAACTCAGGGAAGGCTATGATAGAGAGATGACAGAAAGGCCATAGCACTGTAGCACAGAGACTGAAGGTCAGACGGACTCACCCCAGGCACTGGCAAATTCGGAGTGGAAAGAAAAGCACAAAAAGGAACTGTAAATGTTCTGCATCGCGGTGGAGCAGTCTTTCTTTAAATCTACTCTTTTTTTATGTTATGTGCTTTGGTGTTTTGCCTGCATGTATGACCACATGAAGGTGTTGGATACACTGGAGCTGGAGTTACAGACAGCTCTGAGCCACCATGTGGGTGCTGGAAATTGAACTCCCGTCCTCTAGAAGAACAGTGTTCTTAGCGGCTGAGCCATCTCTCTAGCCGAAAAGCTACTCTTAAGACCTCCCCGCTGCCATCCCTGGAGGTCGGGTGAAAAAAGAAGGGGGTGTTCTCACCAGGTTTGCCTCTGACTGTGGGGCACAAAGCTGAGCCCTGCACAGGTGCGCTCGCCCCAGAAACTGAGTGACTGGCGCCTTCACTTTGAAGTACATCTGGATGCAGTCCTCACTCATCTCAGGTTCCCCCATCTGTAGGACATTGAAGCCAGGAAGAATAGGGAAGATGCCCAGAATAAACGAGCTTTGGATCACTGTGAGACTAGCTTGGCCATTCCCATCTCCACAACACTCATCAGCGTCCCACCCACCCTCCTCTGTGCCATTTACACCCAAAAATGGGAGAGGGGGCAGGTTCATTGTGTGCCAGTGCCAGCCAGGCTTGGAGCTCCACCTTGAGTGCCTCCTCTGCACACAGCACGAAGAGGTCCGGGCTAAAGCTCTCTGAGGGGTCGAACTCCGACTTTCCCAGGTTTGCCGACTTGATCAGCTCATAAGCTCGTCGCAGGGCAGCAGCGTCTATCGGGCAGAGGATCAGCAGAGGAGCCCGGCATGATTCCTGGCCAGGCTGCCCACAACCCTCCCGACTCAGCAATCAGGCCAGGTTCAACAGCTGTAACCACCGCATAACAGGAGGCCTTCTGTGCCATTCTACTGGGGCCAAGGGGTTCCCATCAGCGGAGCTAGGATGAGACCCACCTTGTTGGTTCTGGGCACGGGCCAGTTCCTGTGTGATGACCAGGTCCATGGCACCTAAGGCCCACAGCCAGACAGCTGCTTCGCTGCTGTACCGGTTGCTGTTGCCTAGAGACGGACTCAGACCGAGGACGCTGGAGCTCGGGGCGGGACTACACTTGGGGGCACGTGACGCCAGGAGTAGAGAAAGGGAAGGAGGCCAGAAGGGGCGGGGCGGGACTGGCGGAACACTGAGTGAGGCCAGGTCAAGAACTCTTGAATGTGGAATTGGTACCAGCGACCTGTTTTCCTCAGTTTCCTCGCCAGGCTGCGCTCACCTCCCATCCATCCACCCATTCTTCAGTGTTCCGCTTTGCTGCGTCAGGGAAAAGATGAGCGCTCCACAAAACTTTCCTGCTCTGGGTGAGCACGGGTTGGACGCATGCCCGCAAAGATCAACAGAGGATGTCTACAGGATCAGGAAGGAGGGCTGCTGGTTACTGGCGGACAGGGAAGCCACCAGCCTGGGAAAAAGTGCCCACTTCTATCTTCAGGTGCCACGTTGGCAGGTCTACATGTGATATCCATCTAAGCCTTTAGGAATCTGAGGAGTGGAGACTGGGCAGATGTGCCTGTAGCTGCGGTCTGGGTAGAAGCTCCAATTGCAAGGAATTGGAGCGGTCGTGGGGTAGGGAGGGTGGAAAGACTGCTCCTAGACTCTAGGACTTTTGGGCGAGGACGACTGTCGGAGAGGACTCCACAAAGACACAGTAGTCTTGGAGGTCCTATCTGGGACAAAGCTCCGGGCTGCAGATGCGGCTGCGCTTCAGCGGTTGAGAAGCAATAGTGGGTGGGCAGCGATGGAGACCCCTGGAGCATCAGGTAAGCAGGCGCATAGGCAAAGACAAAGCTGGCTCTAGAAGCCCAAATGAGCACTTAGCACGCAGTGTTGTGCGGAAGGACAAATGTATCCAAGTGCTAAGGAAGGAGCGGCGGTTCCCAAAGCCACGCCTCCAGTGACCTACTTCCTCTAGCCAGCGCCACCTGCTGGGGTTATGAGTCAGCACATGAGCCTGGGAGACCTTAGCAGACACAAACAGAAAAATCACAAAAGGAGAAACAAACTGATCCTCAAAAGTAAAGCCTTCTGATCATTGAAAGAGGCTGCTAGGAAAATGAAAAGGTAGAGTACAGGTTGGGAGAAAACACTCACAATAAAATCTCTGATACAAGACCAAGAGTTCAACAGATAACTCAGACAAGTTTAAAAGATGCTAAAGACTTGGATAGACACGCGACAATGTGAGATACGTGACTATGCAGCGAGCACAGAAAGAGTGCTGACGTGGTCAGTAATCAAAAGAGACAACACCAAGAGATGCCTCCCACATCCAAACCCATCGCTGCAGCTAAAATTAAGAAGCCTGATGAGGACAAACAGCTGCATTTGCCACACAGCTGATGGCAATGTAAAATGACAACCGCTGGAAAACCGTTAGCTCCAAGTAAACTGAGGCATGTGCTTGCCTCATGACCCAGAAATTCTCCTCATAGGCGATTGTCCCGAGGGATGGATGCATCTACCCTTTGAAGTCCTGTAGAGTGGCTGCTTTATTCATGATAGCCTGAGGGCAGAAATGACCCAGATAGCCAACAAAAACCTTGCTAAGGATGGTCAGTTACACAACTGGGCTGTTGCTCAGCAATAAAAGAAACAGAGGAGGAGTTGATGTGGGGGAGAAGGGAGATGGAGGGAGGGGAAACTGCAGTAGGGATTCAATGTATGAGAGAAGAATAAAAGTTTAAAAAGAAAAGCAGAATGAACCTTGGCAGGCAAAAATACCATGATGAGTTCTGGAAATGTGAAACAGTGGGTCCAGCCCTGACACAGCATCGTGTGTGTGTGTGTGTGTGTGTGTGTGTGTGTGTGTGGTGTATGTGTGTGTGGTGTGTGTGTGTGGTGTGTGTGTGGTGTGTGTATGTGGTGTATGTGTGTGGTGTGTGTGTGTGTCTGTGTGTGTGGTGTGTGTGTATGTGGTGTGTATGCGTGATGTGTTTGTGTGGTGTGTGTGTATGTGGTGTGTGTGGTGTGTGTATGTGTGGTATGTGTGTATGTGGTGTGTATGCGTGATGTGTTTGTGTGGTGTGTGTGTATGTGGTGTGTGTGGTGTGTGTATGTGTGGTATGTATGTGGTGTGTGTGTGATGTGTGGTGTGTGTGTGGTGTGTGTGATGTGTGTGTGGTGTGTGTGTGATGTGTGGTGTGTGGTGTGTGTATTGTGTGTGGTGGGTGGGTGGTGTGTGTGTGGTGTGTGTGATGTGTGTGTGTGTGTTATGAGCATGTTGGTGAGCTGTGAAGGCTTCAGTTTGAGAAACTGGGGTGTTGCATTCAGACTTACTGTCAGCTAGGATTGATGGTGAAGTTCTTGGTGGTGGACACTCGTAGTACGTGGTTACCAGACCTTAGAGGTTGGGGTTGGTCTTTTTGCTGGGGGCCTCTGGTTTATGAAGAGCCCCAGTAAGGAGCCCCACCTGGAAGGCGGTGTGACGAGACGGGTGCTCCCCCGGCCCTGGGCAGTTCAAGGAGTGATATGTCTACCTCAGGGGTTTAGAGCCGGGAAGCTGAGACCTGAGACATCTCTGAGGTACTTTCTTACTTTCTAGAACTTAGGGATGTGGAAGGTAAAGGTCTGCTTGGGGTGGCCACGGATGAGTGGGGGGCACATACATGATTACGGAGTTGGTTTATGACTCCAGCTATTGCTCTGTATCACTGAAGCTTTGCCTTTCATATGGCCAACCAGGGAAGAGACTGGGATTCAATACTGAAGTATGGATTCTACTGAATATGGGTCTCTTTTGCATCATGAGGTGGGAAATTCCCCGTGAACCATCTGAGTGTGTGTGTGTGTGTGTGTGTAATAAAGTTGGATATGCCTGATACAATTTTGAAACTTAAATGTCACATTTTTTTCCAATGATCCTAGAGCAGTATTCCACCCTAGAGGTAGAAGCCTCATGTTCCTCTAAGTTAACCATCTCTCCATTCCTAAGACTAAACTGTTGTGGGTCTCTGTTTATTCATAAATATTCTTCATAGTGTGTATACAAAAGTAAATATAAAGCTATTTACTCCCAGCAAGGAAGCATCACTTACTCATTATGTAGTAAGATCTCAGTTTCCAAATCTAAGCACGTCAAATATTAAAACTCAATTTTTTTCTGGTTACAAAGTAGCTGTAAATAGGAAGAATGCGACACAAAAGAGTTTTTTCTCACTAGGTGTGTTTCATTTTGCCATGGACCACTTGGGTCAACCCTCAACTCCAAAAATGTGAAATTGTGGGGTTCTTTATGTCATATTTGAAACCCATTTCCCCTTCTTGCAGATTCCACCCACTACCCTTTGTCTGCAGAAGTGCTGGAGACAGAGCAGGGGCTCCTGGCTGACAGCAGAGACCCTGGTGTCAGACTCTTCCAAGGTGGGGACACCTGGGATTGGGGTTTGCTGGCTTTTATTTGAGTTGTTCCTCATACCCCCTCATACCCCTCTCAGATGCCCAGCTGCTGCTGGCACCCACCCCAGCAGGAAGTCTTTAACACCCTTCCGGTCCTGAGGTCAGTATCTAGCAAGAAGACAGTCACCAGACTTTCTGATGTGAAATTCAAATTTTCTTCTACTGAGGGAGGATACATTCCCACCCCCTGTAGGCATCACTGGGTGTCCCATAAACTAACTCACCTTGGGCAGTGTTGAGTTAGCATGGGGCCACAGGCTTTGACAGTGTCACCAGGCGCTCTACTCTGAGCGTCACTTACAAAGAGTGAATCCAGGAGTTCCTACTCATCCATCTAACGTGGTTATGGCTCCCTGACTCCTTGAAGGTTATTTTGCCAGAGCTCAATATGTCCAAGGGAACAGACACCAAGACTCTCCTGCCCATGCCAGCTGGTGAGCAAACTCCAGAAGGTAGGTGCCCAAAGTGTACCTGGCATTCTAGCAATGGCAAGAAAGAGCAGGCGGGACGCTGGCCACTCTCAAAACACTGTAGTTCCACTGTCACAAAGCGGTTTCCAAAGCTGGGGAGAGAGGGTCCATGGGCATAAGTGGCTCCCCAGGGGGATACAAAGATGACACACTGATCCAAAGCACTGACCCTTTTCCTCCTGACACAGCCCACCCAAACCCATCCAAGCCCATGCCTAAGGTTTACCTAGCTCACCACCTCCTACGCACGTCTCTGCTGGTGGGCTGGATATCCCCTGGAGGAAGTCAGTGCGCTGCTGGTCTGCGTCTCCCACACTAGGAAGGAACAACTGCGGGGAGTGTGCCCTCTGTTCGCTGTGGTCAGCGACCCATTGCCACTCTTCATGGCTGTGTATTCAGTGTGAAACCATTTAGTCGGCTTTGATAGTGGTGTGAGAGTTCAAACATGAAGTATGGGCAGAACATTGGGGTGAGCATAAGTGGGGATGGTCTGATCAGAGGCTATCGAGAGACACGGAGGTGGTATCCATGTCCTGCATCAGAGGAGGTCATGGGCGTGGAGGGGATACTCAGCCAATCAGTGGGTCCTCCAAGTTGTCTCCTGTGTGTGCTGAGTGCACATGTATATGTGAGTGTGTGAGTTCAAGGTGTGTGAGAGTGTGGGAACATGACTGTGAGCTATATGTGTGCATGAATGTGACTATGCTGATGTGTGTGGCTGTAGATATGCGAGTTGTATATGGATGCTGAGCAATAATGTGTGTGAACACAAGTGTGTGAAAGCATCAGTGACAGTGTGCAATGTAAGTGTTCATGAGTGGGACTGTAAGAGTGTGCACACGACCTGCTGGCCCAGGACACAGAGGAGTAGTCCCCTACCCTCAGACATGTGTGTGGGACCAGGTTCTGGGTGGTGGGCAGAGAACAGGGGCAGAAAGTCCTGCTCCTCCCCCAAGACCAAGTCTATACTTGGTCACCAGGAGGAAGAGGCTGGTGACTTTAAGAAGTCCGAGGGGAACACGGAGCAGGAGGAAATATCCACTTAGACTCCATCTTCACCTTTCTCAAGGAACAGTCCCAGAACAGAAAGGACATTGCCCCCTGGGCAGATGAGTTCCTGTACTTCCCTAGTGGGCCATGGGAGGGTTCTGTACACCCACCTTCCAAACAC